TGTTGCCGATGAAGAAACTGTGACTAGGGGTTGGGAAGGATTGTGTCCCGGTGAGCTCAGAAACCCTTTTCAAGTTGTTGTGGATGCTAGGTGACTGAAAACGCCAACATCACCCGAAAACCAGAGCCGATCATGGCACAAATGTAGCCAGTTTTGATTTGACACCCTAGAAGTCTGAAAACTGCAATTGGATAAAATTCTGCTTTTGTTCTTCAACTGCATGGTTGTGGTCGAGTTGCCTGTGTGCCAAAAGCACTGAGACTAGGCCTGGGATTTTTGAAAAGTATAGGCTTGAAGACAGGCGCTTAACAGAGTTCCAAAGCATGTGGCAGAAGATTTGTGTGGGATTAGATGGGATTGGCACTTCTGTTGGTGGCCGACCAAGTCGATTCTGTGCGAGGGATGGCTTAACCATCAAACACCATCTGGCAAAAGAAAGACAAGCAACATAACCGGACAAGACTCTCTACAGTCCGCAACCTGGTTCATAGGATTCGAGGGTAGCAGCGGGTAGCAAAATGAAAGTCTGTCTTGGACCCTCAAGTGCCTCCTCCACAGCAATTTGGTGGTGCCACACACTCAGGACATGTCAGGACCCAAGTCGGCCTATTGGAGCACTCTCCTTACCGAGAGTGACCGCTTGACCAAAACATACCAAGCTTATGGAAGGCGTGGATCTGCTTCGTAGCTTCCAGCTTTGGTTCCGAGGCTGCGGCCCATGTAATCCTTCCTCTCCAGGCTCTCGGGGTCGACGCGGAGGAAGTGCCTCACGGCACCCACGTTGCCCTCCTCGGCCGCCTGATGGATGTGCTCGCCTCGGGCATGACACGAGCCCAACCCCTTGTGGGAGCTGCTGGAAGGGGCACGGCTCGTTAACAGGCATACCCAGATAGCTAGCCCATCCAGGACGGGAAAGCCTGAAATAAAGAACCATCATGAAACCTCCAGCACTGCATGGATTTTGTTCTTTTTCCAGCCTGGGGATGAGGATGGCAAAGCAGATCTCGAGGCGCAAGATTTCCAATATCATAGAACCCTCAACAGGAAAAGTTAAGGAAAATAAAGTTGACTCAACAGAAAGCTACCTTTAGTCCTTTGAGCGAATTCAACAATCTCAGGTCTTGACAGTTTTTTGCCTTGACACGCAAGAATGCCAACTGTTTCGCAGAGATTGTTTTGCAAAGTTCTAAGATACCCGTCCAGAACTGTTTGAACAGGACGTCGCCCCAAACTCGAAATTTCAAACAGACCCTGCTTGCTGAACCGATCTATTGGATCATGGCAAGTTTGCCCACAATGATGAAACGGTGAAACCAAATCGTCTATCCCCACTGGGTGATAAACACCAACTATTTTGGGTGCCCAATAAAAACATGGCTAGATTACAACCACAAATCCGCAAGAGATGAGTTGCTGGAATCAGCTGCGGGGGCCTGTCTCCCACAGCTTCTGAAACTGTAATGATTACGCATATTGTGCTGTACAAATGTATGTCAACGATCTAAGGAAATATAACAATCGATATTACGAAATAAAAAAATACCGGGGCCTGACGTCCAACAGTTGCCAGGTGGGGGGGGGGCCGACGGCATATTCTTTTGGTACCTGTCCATTGTATTTTGCTTGGATTTTCCAATCTTACCTTATGCCCTCTCATTTTATTGGCATGTTGTTCTTAGGCCCCTGCATTTTATTATATTTTTCATTGGGTTCATCTCTAGCATTTTTGTTATACATTAGGATTATCGTTCTTACTCTTGATCATTTCATCTTTTTTTGTCATTTTGTTTCATATCTATGTTTTTTTCAAAAGTTACTTTCCTTTTTGCAATTTAGCATCTTATAACATCTTATAACACTTTTAGTCATGTAAAATTTATGTATTTTAGTCTTGTGATTTTTATGAGTTGTTGATGAGATAGATTACAATATCATAATCTATTTATTTGAATGAATTCATATGTTCCATGATGTCCAAGTGATTCCAAATCTCTGGAAGGTTTCGCAGAATGATCAGACCGTTCACAGCTGTGCATCTTTGCTATATCATGCTATCTCTGTCAGTTAACTTGATGGGTTGGGCCCCTCAAAAAATAAAATGCACCCACAAAAAAATATGCTGGGGTCTGACCCCATTTTATTTCAGATTTGCTTGATTTTTTTTATGGGGTCCTGCCCCCTCATTCTCTTGAGGTACACCATACGAGGATGATTCTCCTCGTGAATTGCCGTGAACTTTGCAACAGCTGCAACCAACAGCTGCAACCAGCAGCCTGGCAGCTGAGACCGATATCACGTCATATCGCGTCCATGAAAGACCAAGATGGGTCTGGAACAAGCGCATACACCGGATGCAAAAAAACAGTACCAATATAGAGATCAATGAAAAGCCCATTAGAGCAGTGTCATGATGAGCCTCCATCGTAACTTCCCACAATAAAAATGGATTTCCCGCATCAGCTTCACTATGTGTTTTTTCTTAATACAACTTATACAAACTGGGGGTATACCGTATATACCTGAAATATGCTGTAGGTGATAATTGAAAAATGAGGATACTCCATGTATATCATGGATAATTGAAAAAACAATCATATCTATCCAGCCAAATATTTATTCTCATTTCAATAGTACCCATGTTATCGTTTCCTTACACGTTTTGTTCCCAAATCGCCTCTCCGGTGCCCCGCCTCCGGGTAAGCCGAACCGCTGGAGGCCATGCTGCCATGCCAGAGTTCCTGGTGATATCTCGACACCCCAAACATTGGCACCTCAGGGTCTATTGGCACAGCAGCTTCGGCCTAGCAAAGGCGTCCAAAGTTCGTGCAGCGACGTGGCACATGATTTGAAACTCATGGCGGGAAATGCTGGGATCGATTTTCTATACCCAGGTGATGAAAACCAACTATTTTCGATGCAAAAAAAAACATGGCTAGATTTGCCAACAACGACTGTTGCTGACACATTCTGCTGACAACCATAAATCCGTAAGAGATGAGTTGCTGGAATCAGCTGCGGGGGCCTGTCTCCCACAAATTCTCCTCGTGAATTGCCGTGAACTTTGCAACAGCTGCAACCAACAGCTGCAACCAACAGCCTGGCAGCTGAGACCGATATCACGTCATATCGCGTCCATGAAAGACCAAGATGGATCTGGAACAAGCGCATACACCAGATGCAAAAAAACAGTACCAATATAGAGATCTACGAAAAGCCCATTGGAGCAGTGTCATGATGAGCCTCCATCATAACTTCCCACAATAAAAATGGATTCCCCGCATCAGCTTCACTATGTGTTTTTTCTTAATACAACTTATACAGACTGGGGGTATGCCGTATATAACCGTATATACCTGAAATATGCTGTAGATGATAATTGAAAAATGAGGATACTCCATGTATATCATGGATAATTGAAAAAAACAATCATATCTATCCAAATATTTATTCTCATTTCAATAGTACCCATGTTATCGTTTCCTTACACGTTTTGTTCCCAAATCGCCTCTCCGGTGCCCCGCCTCCGGGTAAGCCGAGCCGCTGGAGGCCATGCTGCTGCGATGCCAGAGTTCCTGGTGATACAACGGAAAGAAAAACACGAGAAACGCTATGGAAATGTATGGAACATGAGGCAATAAACTATATGAATCTTATCAATGAATATTGACAACTATAGTATCAACTAATAATCATAGTACACAATGAAACAGTTAAAAAGTTGACTCAACTAATAATTCTTTGTCGATAGGTATCAGACTTGGTTTCAATCACCTCAACCTCTTGGTTGTTAGCTAGCCGGAGGGCCAGCGGCTACACCTGTATCACCTCGAGTTTCATGGGTCTCCACGGAGGTGCTTCGTGTATGTTCAAAGCTGGGATAGGCCCAAACCAATGGCAGAACTTCTCGGGGGATGACACCGTTTCCTCCCTTACCTCCAAACTCGAGTCCTTTAGGGAGATCTGATGCCTTTTCGGGTGTCAGCCTGAAGGAATGCGGCCAGCACGTTCAGTTTTAGATTCAATATAAATTGCTTCAGACATTCAAGCAGCTACCAGCTACTATGAAACCTTACACCCACCAGCGAAGATAAAACATGAAAACTATATTTCACCATATCGATCCATATCTCACCATTAAATCTGCAAAAATTCTAGAAAATTCCAGAAATATGTAGACTTCCATTTACAAAGTCTGTTCGCTGCCGGAGAAAAATCTGATGCAGATCCGGCTGAGGCGTTCACTGCGTTCACCCCGGAGGCCCTGGACATCCCCAGAGATCGGCCAAATGCGTCGCTATATGTTGCGAAAAAGTACCATGATGAGCATCAAAATTATGAAAATCTTTGGGATCAATGGATGGGCACCGCTCGAATTGGCTTTCTATCATGGGTTTTAAGTTTCAATTTATACAGTAGTATTTTATAATCCCATGCCCATGATGTGTGACTGGTGAAAACCTATTGCAGGCACTCTGAAAATGTGCTTGTTCTCTCACTGTGATGCCTTCACCATGAAGCAATGTCGGATGCAGAACAGTTTTCTTCCGAAATGGTCCGCGACTGGAGCTGCAAACTGCGCTGTGCAAAGGTATAAGCACGGGAAAGTCGACATGTAAGGTGTGTTCAGTGTCAGTGTCATCCATTGAAATGTTGATAGTGACATAGTGACATAGTGACAAAAGGAGCATCCGTCCAAAGCTGCAAAGCCTTGACAAATTCCTTGACAAGGCATTGGCTGAGTGGAGGACAACTTCCACCGATCGTCTATGACTTCACTTTCCATCACCCAACGAGCAAACAATATCAAACAGTTATATAAAGCCATAGAATGAATGGAAATCTTTGTTCCTCAAGAATCAAGAATTTGCATCTTGCGGGCCTGCCATATTGGTTTACCTGAGGGCACCTGGGTACTTTCGGGTGTTCTTACTGTACAGCTGCCTACCAAAGACATTGATAACATTCCAGCCAGGACATGCACCAACACTCCGCATTGATTTCCCACGGCATGCTCCCGCAATCTTTAAAGCTGCAGCTTAGTTTCGAAGATGCCCATTCGTGCAACAGATTCAGCAATCTGGTCAGCAACGCGTTGGGCCTTATTCATCTGCCGATCATCTATGTACACGAGGCCATTCTTGAACACCAATTGATTCTGGTAGATGCCTCGTTCGTTGTTCTGCGGCGCTGGTGGCCACTGCTCGCAGAGCCTAATCGGAAACAAGGGCAACCGGTGGTCATGAGCAAATTCAAGCTCATGGAAAGTTTCATATCCTACACCAGTGTATGCCCCATATTCCGACGTGCAAAATGTTACCATGCCTTTGGCACGGCCCAGTCCTATCCGTGTCAGGTCAGCAAAACTTTGGCCGACCGTTGCTTCAACCATAAAAACCGGTACGTTTCGAGCTTCCAGCTGCTTCTTCACTGCCTTCATATACTCAATAATCCTTAGTCACCAACCCCACGAAGCGTTGGACATCTTGACTATAGGTCACACTGGCGCACCTGTTCAAAGCACATTCGATCCACCAAAACCACACATTGAATCACATCAAAATTGTGTTTTGAGGCAAGGATCTCATTACTGTTGAAGCGTCCGCTCAACAACAAGTGTCCTTGCTGTGACGCCGCCGCCTAAGAACTGGCAGAGCAGCTTCCAAAGCGTCAGCCATAAACACACTGAGGTTTCGAATGGTGGGTAAAGACAAACAAGTGCAATGCCCACAAGTACCCAAAATCCTGAATCAATGGAGTGATCCGAAACAAGATTGCAGTCCTTGTTTGAATACGGAAATTGTTTTCGAGGGACAATGTGGTTATGGGATGTTATGGGTCAGTTCGCACCAAACTAGCTGGTGTTGATTGATTTTCATCCCCCCAAACATATGACAATTAGATTTGATCCATCCCCAAGATCCTGAGTTCCCCACCGATCGCATGTCAGTCGAGGCAGCTGACGATGCCTGGCACGGCACACGTATTGCACAGCGAGATGGATCTGGAGATGGATGGATCTGAAGGTTGCAATCAGAAGAGGCACCATTTCGAGCGGATCTTGAAGGATTCGCTGAATGGACTCGACTTGGAGTTTGAATATCCCCAATCAGTATCAATCAGTCATGTTTCCTAAGCATGGTCCAACAAAACAACACCATTTCCAGCAACGCCTGTGCAGAGCTAGCAGCATGTGGCCCAACAGATCTTGAAGCTGTTGCAGCTGTTGCAGCTGTCGCCTCTTCTGGCCGGATCTTAAAGCAGTGGTTCTTGTCCTCGATCTCCACATCAAAGTGTTGCCGCGACTGGGCGTCCAGCTCCGGTGACACCAATGGCATCCGGTGAAATCGGATCTTCATTTTTGATGTTCGACCAGGTTGTTTGATTTCGAGGGCTTCATCATTGCGAAAGGTTCCCAGCTGAAGGTTGGGAGAACATCTTCGCAGAGGTTGCAGGCTATCTGGGTCCGAGCAAAGCACTTCTAAGCTTCTTTCGCAGGACTCGCAGCCAGTGTGCATTATGATCACCTGCGCATTCTCACCCTGCGCGTGCAAGAAACCGAGGCCTTTGAGTGGATGAGGCTTTCCAGTGACAACAAACTCACAGAAGTGGTCCACCGTCACCGTTGCTCTGGTCTCCTCAAAAGTGGCAGTTTCTACTTGCTCCCATCCAGCTGTGGATGACCTCCACAAAGTTTCGGCGCCAGCACACGTTGGGACTTGGACCTGACAGATGTCTGACACTTTCATTGGCCGGGGGTCTATGGGTCATGTGTCTCAAGACAAACCGAGTCTCAGCAGGAAGTAGCAAACCACGTTGGGCTCAGACATACATGCATTTTCCACCAACAAGAATCGCAGTAAGATTTATATCTGACGTCTCCAAGAATGTTCAAGAACTATGATGGTTTGCTCTGCACAGCTACCAGAAACCCCAGTCAGAAAGACGAAAACAGCTGCAGGTAAGGAGTCGTCTGGCACGGGTCCTAACCTTGGACATCTCCGTGGATCACTTTTTTTTCGACCCAAAAAGATCAGGCGGTCGGGACATGTCACACTCATGTCCAACTCTCCCAGCCTTCACTGGCGCAGGGAAGGTTCGATCTTCCGGAGTGAGCCGGAGGAGTCGAGCCAGGGGCACGTGGCCGGCAGGCAGCGCCTGAGCTGGTGGACAAATTATTGTGAAAGAATGCGGACTCCGGACAGATCTGTGGATCATTGCGTGTTGTGTGATATACTTTAGGTTTAATTATACACACACTAAAAAAACACATATACATGACATATCATGACATACACTGTTGACACGAGCGAGCATGACACAATCATATTGTAGCATGCAAACAGTAATTATATGATCAACCCCCTGTCAATTAAGGGGTGGGGCTGTGCAACCATTTTGTAGTGAAGAAACGGCTTGCATAGCCTCAAGTTCTACTAAATGGATGCGCATGCATGATCGAATTTCACTACTAAATGTGGGCCCCTGGTTCAGCTGAAGCGCAAAATTTGGATATATTTTCAGAGTGTCTTAAGACACCACCATGACTCGACCAAACACCCTGTTCCATTTAGTAGAGGTACTCATTTGAGCACAAATTGCGGGACCAACATCACTCGACCAAAACCCCAAAGCCATTTAGTAGAGAAATACACGGGGTCCATTTAGTAGAGAAAACAACATGAAACACATATGACTGATCCCATGACCATCCATTTAGTAAGCACCCGACGAGCAAGAAACACCCAAGCGAGGGATTTGGCATTGCCCCCAAAAAAGGCCAAAAAAGAACCCAAACACGAAAGGCAGCACCCGACGAGCAAGAAACACCCAAGCGAGGGATTTGGCATCGCCCCAAAAAAAGGCAAGGCAGCACTTGGCTAGACAGGGGAAATCTTGACAGATTTTGGACATTTTGGGACTACAAAATGGTGTTCCATAGCACGTAAGGGATAATAGGGCACACAAGGATGCAACAGGGCTTTGTTTCAAACAATTCTAGATAGACTGATCCCATGACCATCCATTTAGTAAGCACCCGACGAGCAAGAAACACCCAAGCGAGGGATTTGGCATCGCCCCCAAAAAAGGCCAAAAAAGAACCCAAACACGAAAGGCAGCACCCGACGAGCAAGAAACACCCAAGCGAGGGATTTGGCATCGCCCCCAAAAAAGGCAACAAAAGAATCCAAGCACGAAAGGCAGCACCCGACCAGCAAGAAACACCCAAGCGAGGGATTTGGCATCGCCCCCAAAAAAGGCCAAAAAAGAACCCAAACACGAAAGGCAGCACCCGACGAGCAAGAAACACCCAAGCGAGGGATTTGGCATCGCCCCCAAAAAAGGCAACAAAAGAACCCAAGCACGAAAGGCAGCATCCGACGAGCAAGAAACACCGAAGCGAGGGATTTGGCATCACCCCCAAAAAAGGCAAGGCAGCACTTGGCTAGACAGGGGAAATCTTGATAGAATTTGGACATTTTGGGACTACAAAATGGTGTTCCATAGCACGTAAGGGATAATAGGGCACACAAGGATTCACAAGGATGCAACAGGGCTTTGTTTCAAACAGTTCTAGATAGACTGATCCCATGACCATCCATTTAGTAAGCACCCGACGAGCAAGAAACACCCAAGCGAGGGAGTAGGCAGCACCCGACGAGCAAGAAACACCCAAGCGAGGGATTTGGCATCGCCCCCAAAAAAGGCCAAAAAAGAACCCCAACACGAAAGGCAGCACCCGACGAGCAAGAAACACCCAAGCGAGGGATTTGGCATCGCCCCCCAAAAAAGGCAAAAAAAGAACCCAAGCACGAAAGGCAGCACCCGACGAGCAAGAAACACCCAAGCGAGGGATTTGGCATCGCCCCCAAAAAAGGCAACAAAAGAACCCAACACGAAAGGCAGCACCCGACGAGCAAGAAACACCCAAGCGAGGGATTTGGCATCGCCCCCAAAAAAGGCAAGGCAGCACTTGGCTAGACAGGGGAAATCTTGACAGATTTTGGACATTTTGGGACTACAAAATGGTGTTCCATAGCACGTAAGGGATAATAGGGCACACAAGGATGCAACAGGGCTTTGTTTGAAACAGTTCTAGATAGACTGATCCCATGACCATCCATTTAGTAGAGGCAGCACTTGGCTAGACTGGAGGCGGCATGGCAGGATACCGCAAGGATGCTATCTTTGTCCAACTTCTGTTGTTTCATATCGCGGTATACCCGATCATGTTGATTTACTTCAACCCAGGAATATCTTGGATATTCATTGGCATTCTAGAATTTATATTTGTTTCTTATGTTTTTGAGCATCTATTATCATATACTATCTGGATTTACGTGATTCATCCTGATGGACATGGATTGGCCAAACGGCTATCGGGGGCAACGGAATGGGAATCTCTACTAAATGGTTTTTCAGTTTTGTCTCATTTCATTGTGACCGTTTTATGAACTCTACTTCGCAACCTCTACAAAATGGTTCCTGTGATTTTGCAACATTTTTTTTGACATCTCTACTAAATGGTTTTACCCAAAAAACAACATTTGACATCATATGATTAACATATCATTTTTACCTCTCTACTAAATGTGGATCATGGGTCTAGAGATGTTTACTTGATTTTTTTTGAAAAATCATGATTCTCTACTAAATGGTTTCTAGAAATTTCACACTAAATTTTTGGTTCACTTTCCGGGACCTAGGTCATAGCATTTAGTAGTGGAAATTGGCAGGAGGATATATGATCCATGTCTTGCCTTGCAACACTTCCCACACACCTCTCAACGTGCTTTCCACTACCTGCCTAGGGAATTCTTTCTGGATACTGTGTAGAAATATGAAGAAAGACCCCATGCAGCGGGCAGAGTAATTGGCATGGCATACCTAGGAACTCCAAAAGGACATAATTTCAGCCTTAAGAGGAAAAACAAACTTTTAGGGTCTCAGACTCAGATTGAAATTTCGGTCTGAGGGTGATCTCAGGCTATTTTCTGATTTCAGGCTGATTTGTTTGAATCTCAACCTGAATTTGGAAAGAAATCAGGCTCAAACCAGGGAAGAACTCAAGAACTACTTGGTCATCCCGATGCTTACCGCATCCTGTTCTCGTCTGGTAGAATTAGATCAAGCAATAAGCTCAATAATTAAGAATCCGAAAAGTTACCAGACTGTGGAACGCTGGACGTGTATTGGTGGCAAAAGACATATTTGCAAGCTTTGCACAGGTTCATGACGCATCTTATCTCCACTATATATATATTGGTTTTGAGACCCTGGGATTTCAAGCTTGATTTGGAATTGCAGATTTTTCATTGTTTTTTCTTGCAGTTCAACTCCTAATTTTTCATGTTTTTTGGGAATTGAAACCGTGCTTGAGTTATATATGCCTATCACCATGTCACAGAATCATCTTTGAATACGAAGTTATCATTTGGGGATGGAAACCAGTCAGATTTACTCAGTTATCAGCTAACGGACTGCTGCTTTGTGCTTCTGACATTGCCCCTTATCCATGTAATATGTGAAACTGATTTCAATACCATTGAACCAGCATTTTTTGCGCAAAGTGCCTCGGGCTATTTCTTTAGTTCGGGCTAAAAATATTGGTTCAGTCAGGCCAAAATATTCAGCCTGAATGCATTCAGACCATTATTATGGCCTGAGGATTCCGTAGGTATACGTACGGCACAGGCAAAACGAGTGTACGATATGGAAACTGCATATCGTTTCTCCGGTTCCCACCACGGTCTCAAGGCTCAGTTGGTGCAAAGGAAGAAGAGTTATGGATAGTTATGGCAGTTTGCTTGACAAGATACCTCTTCCAGAGCTGAGACGTCCTTCAAGTCGTTCCAGTTCTCGAGAACCTCGATTTGTGGATCGAAGGCCTCGAAAATGGCCTGCTGCGCCATCAGGCGAATGCCGTGCGGGAAGTCCTTGATTTCGACGCCATCCTATCCGGTCCCATCTGTTTTTTCCATGTTTTTCCCACAGTCGCTCTGCAACAAAGATCCGTTGCCAAGGTTTGTTTGCAAACAAAGAACCGCCTTGCCAGGATTCCTTGAAATTTGAACTTTGGATGAAAAAATATACGAAACATCGATTGGAAGCATTGAGAATTCACAGACTCTCCCGACTCAAGATGAGAAAAAGGATGAAACTTGTACGAATGAATACGAATGAATATGAAGCTTCAGCCAATGACTTTATCCCGTTCTCGGGCATGGAGGGGTCTGCAGGTTGGGAAGGCGCCTGGGTATAGAAAAAGCCAGGACTTCGAATGCTGCTTTCAACTGCAGACTCTGTCCGCTTTGCAGGTCACCCTTAACTACCCATTTGTTCAGTGGAACAGCAATAAGACAACTTTCATCCCAATGCCCGGGTGTGTCACAAATGTCACCTGAAGTGTTACCCCCGCCTGTGCTTCAGGATGTCCCTCTTCAAGTACATCTTCCTAAGAAAACACCAAATCGCAAGTCCAAATGAGGCAGAGAGAAGAAGACCTGAAATGGGGAGTGCATAACACCTGGTACAACAGCCATGTGGACATACATTGTGGTCAACTTGGCTTCATGGTGGATGTGAACACTCATCCACATTGCCTGGCAAAAGGCATTCTGCCGTAGTTTTTTTTGGCTTGCTACTGCTTCTACTGTCTCAAGCACTCCTGCCGATTTCCCCGCATCACCGTCGCATGTCATGTTGCAGCTGCTGTTGCCAAGGCACTGAAATCATGGCAGTCAACGTGTTGCCCGGCACAATGTGTGCTGCAGCGAGCTCCATGCTTTCATCCCTGGGCACAGACCGCCATACACTTATCCAATTCAGTAACTGATGTCACAGAAGTTACTGGTGGCATGGAATATTAACCCAGTTTTGCGACCAGCAGCAGGGTACGCAACAAAAAACGTCTTGGTGAAGGTGATTTCTTCTTTCAAACTCGCCAGAATTTTGTTTGAAGCAGCAGCCCAACCAACTACACGTACTGTCAACGCAAAAGCGGACCGATGCTAGATGGCTTTAAAATGCTTTAGGCCACTCGCACCCATGCCCAACAGAATTGTTTCCCGATGTTTCCCGAGTATACCGTTTCTCCATCAGCAGAAGGATCAAATAGTTTCTGCCCGAGTGACAACGGTTCGTGATTTTCTCCAATGATATGCTTGATTGTGATACCGAGCTTCTTCCTAAGATCCACACCGTGGCACATACCACAGGAGGTGCAGGCATCAACAGGCTGCAGTCAGATGCATCCCAAAATGCCCCTTCTGTGACAAGGACATGTAAGCAGAGTGAGGTACTTGATGAACAACACCGTTTTCTGCCTGGAACCAGTTTGCCAACTAAATTTCAAGCACATCCTAAGACTTCGTCCTAAAAAATAAATGGAACAAAAGTGAAAAGATATGAAAAGAGGTACAGTTTCCCACCAGGACTTCTTGGGGTATCACGGTCATGAAGGGTCCAATCATACATCCTGATACATCTGGGAAAGGATACGGCACGTCGACGTGCCAAGAAACCGACCATAAAAAAATCAATTTATATGAAGATTTGGCATCGCAAGAAGATGTTTTGGCATGTTGACGAGAGCTTCCACATCTGGGAAACTGGCTGATCCCCCTCTGAGTCGAAGACAAGTACCAAGTGCGTACCAACTTCAGTGGCGTTTGCTACTTTGCATGAGTTTTTTTCGTGATTTTGGTCCGAGTTTCCTTCAAGATTGTGAGTTGAAGAAGGACAAATACTTCATTCAAAATGCTCCTGTAAAATGACGATGCCTAAAACCTGCAAGAAACCGGCACCCAACCTGAACAATTGTGGTTCTCAAAAACAATTTGCTGCCAGGTTTTGTAAGCGTCAAGTGAGCTGTTGCGCTGTGTGCTGCCACGGCGCTCGGTTTCTTCCTTCAACTCCAACACGGTTCGCTTTTCCCACGGGTCGCCTGAGTTCAGTTGGGGTTCGCTCCAGTTTTGGGATGCATAACAGAGAGGACTTCAATGTGGTGGGATGAAAGTCTCATATCCTGGTAATCCAGGTACTTTGAAAACTAACGTTGATTTACTATTCGGGGATTGTTTTTTTCCACATTTTGCTTAATTACTATACTATGCTGACGGTCAGCAAGTATTCCTCGGATCATCTACCCAAAACGCCCAGGTGCAACGGCAGCTTCGGCCACTCAGCAGAGCCACAAAGACCTCGGTGTTTTTTCATGGCGCCGACACGATTTTGGTGCTTAGGGCAAGGAACACGGGGATGCACCAGGTATAGCTCAGGCAAGAAAATCTGATGTGCCAGAATCAACCAACGGAACAATGTGGAAAAATGTTTGGAGCGCCAATCCTCCGTGACGAAGTATGGTGCGAGCAATGGTATATATAAATCCCTATCAATGACGAGATGACCATTCCCTGTATGGGAAAATATCCCATGTTTTGACAATCGCACATTTAACAACAAACAGAAAGGCAATTGTTAAATGGTTCGATATACGTCGCCGCGAAATATAGTTCTATAGTAATGTAGATCCCCATGTTTGATGGTTTAATCCTCATGTTTGGTGGTCAATTAATAAGTGATACAAACTTCCAAATACTTTTGATGGTTCATGTTTTCTCATGTGTTTATCGTTCACGAATACATGATACAAACTCCCATAGAATAGTATCCAGAATGGTTGATAAACTATATGAGATATCTAATTATCTGATATCATCGGTCAGACTAGTAATATGAGATACGTGCACCATTATGGTTAAGAATGGCTGCCAAGAGGCCGGGTGGAGGAGGCCCATCACCTGGCGGTGGCCATTCCCCTCAGCCAGGTCGTAAGGCGTCTGGCCTGAGACTCGACGGCGTCGTTTTGGCGTGGGAGCTCGGAAAGTCCTGCGGATTTTTTTTTCACAAGCGATATGTAGTCCATATTGGTCTACACGTCCGCAGCAGCATTGTCCCTAAGCTTGGTTGACTATTTCACTTTGGGGTGAAGCAACTTCCAACGGTCTCTGTCTTCTGCAATTGGCAATAGGAGGTGAATATATTGAGTGGATTTGAGTGGTATTGTACCACTGCTTCATGCTGGTGGAGGAGAAGTGTTTAAGTTCAACGATAGTGAAATGTTGGTAGAAAGAATGCTGAAAATCCCCTAGTGTGGGGGGGGCTTGGTGGAGAATATGTGCGCGGTGGGATGCTTCAGCTAATGCAAGCTCTGGCCAATGGGCTCTTGGTGCTCCGCATCTAAAAGGGGAGGAAATTGTACGTAAAGAGTAGGATTAGTCCTGCGGCCTGCGGATGTGGACAAATAAATCATGTTCTGCGGTTAAAAATAATACTCAGGGTATTTGCCATGCCGAGTTTTCAATTTCTGATGAAGTCTGGCAAATCAATGCTCACGGCTGTAATTTGCAGGATCCGATATGTTTCCATTTTTCAAACTCTGAACATGTCTGCACCAAACCAGGAAAGTCATTACATTCCACCACTTGCAGTCTTTTCTGACAGGATGTCTCTGCTCCTAATTCATTCCATAAAACCGTTGTCAACCGTTTCAATTTAAAGGACAGATGCGGGATCCAGCTCAAAGTGATCAAAAGTTCCAAATCCAGTCAACATTTGAGACCACGTGCTTTCTACTCATGTCCCCCCATGTTTGGTCATTTCTTTTACACAAATTTCAAGAGGCCCATCCCGGCACCAAAAAAATGTTCTTTTAACAGCAAGTAACCACTCAACATCCCAAAGCAAAACGAAAATTATGTACAAACCCCTTCCATCACCTGCCACTCCCAAAGCAACTCGAAAACCACCAGGGCCACGGCGGTATTTGTTGGCCGCGTCCACCGTGGCCCCCGCAGAGATCAGCTGCTCGACCACGGCGGCATGGCCGTCCCGGGCCGCAAAATGCAGCGCAGTCTCGCCTCGGGCGCCGAGGATGCGACGCGGACAGCGGGGACAGCTGCGGCTGCCATCGAGAAACAAAGCAAAGCGTAGCCAATGGGATGTTTCAAACTTGTGGGTAGGTCATAGATAGAAGATCTGCCAGCCGATACTTTTTGTATCTTTTAATGTGAGGCATGGCGAAAAACAAGAGGAGCAATCATCGCAAAATACGTGCTTGCTCTATCGTGTTGTTTAAAATCTTACAAGCAGTTGCACCTGACTTTTGCAGCATCATGCGTCACGTCTTTAGAAACTTGTTCATGAATAACTTTGGACTATCCAAGTGCAGATAAACCGCTTTCTCAAGTTAAGAAATAACATGAAATAATATTTTTTAGGGATTGCCGAACTGATCTCATGATGACAGGAAAAATTGATGAACTTTGATTTAAAAATCTGATGCTTGCGTATGCTTGCGTGCTTTGGACACATAAATATCCAATGGGATTGACCCAAGTGCCCAAGCCCATGGCACTCACGCCATTTGTCATGCTGAGTTTTCAATGTTTGGTCGCGTCAAGCCTGGCACAATCAATGCCTCACAGCTGTTCTTTCAAGGATCTCATGTGTTTTCCATTTTCAAACTCAGGATACATGCCTGCAACAAAAATAAAATCATTACATTCTACCGCTGGCAGTGAAAATATCTGACAGCATCTCTCTGCTGTCAAAATTTGTTCCATATAGCGATCGCAATTTCAAGGAAAGATGTGGGATCAAGCTCAAAATCATTAAAAGACCAAATCCAGTGAACACTTTGAGACCACGTGATTCCTTCTGCTTTCCACTCATTTCCTTTGATCGAAATTTCAAGAAGCCCATCCCAGCACAAAACTGCAACTTGAAACAGCAAGTACCGCTCTCAACATCCCAAAACAAAGCATACAATCAGCTGCCCGTGTATTCGCCCCTTCCATCACCTCGCCAGAGCCACTCCCCAAACGACCCGAAAACCCTTCCGGGGCCGCGGCCGCTGTTGCTGGCCGCGTCCACCTTGGCCCCCGCAGAGATCAGCTGCTCGACCACGGCGGCATGGCCGTTCGAAGCCGTCACACGCAGCGCCGTCGCGCCTCAGCGCCGAGGATGCGACGCGGACGGTGGCTGCGGCTGCCAACAAGAAACAAAGCGTAGTCATGGGATGTTTCTCCGGGTGGTTGGGCAAATATTTTTGGATGGGTCATAGATAGAAGATCTGCCAGCCGATACTCTTGGTGTGAGGCAATTGGGGAGAATACGAGAGCTATCATCGCAAATCAGTCATGTTACATGTTTGTTTAATTAATCGAGATCTTGCAAGCAGTTGCACCTTTCTTTCGCAACATCATGCGCCGCATGTATAGTGCTTCATGCCAATGGGATGTTTCTCCGAGTGGTTGGGCAAAATTCTGAATATGAGATCCGCCAAGCCGATACTTTTTGTATCTTTTAGTGTGAGGCATGGCGAAAAACAAGAGGAGCAATCATCGCAAAATATGTTCTTGCTCTATGGTGTTGTTCAAATGTTACAAGCAGTCAGTTGCACCTGACTTTCTCAAGATCATATGTCGCACTATCCAAGTGCAGTGAAATCTGGACATTGTCTGACAAAAGAATGCCAGGAGAAACGCAAAGGAGGTGGGAGCCGTGAGGGGGGAAGCTGTTGCCGATAACCCGAATCACGGAGGAAAAAAACAATCTCAGGTGTGGCTGAGTGGCACGCATGAAAGTCATTGGACAAGTTGCCAAGGGAAACATTTCACTGTCCACTATACTTATACAGTGAAGAGGAAGGTTGGTGCGGGGTTGAAACCTATCCGTGTTGGTAAAGGTTTGAAGACAAAGGATGACAAAGGTATTTGGAGTCTATTGTGCTAGACTTGAGAGAGTCCGAACATATCCATCAATATCAGCTTTCACTCAGAAGGATTGAAAACCACCGACGTTGTTTTTTAATATCACGTCTTCAGGCCCTTATGCCTGATCCATACTGATTGATCAATCATCCTTCATTGTGCTATGTCATTGCTATGCGGGCAAAGATGTGATATTAAAAAAGTAACTAAGAGAGATTTGACCGGGCAAACCTGCTTTGGCACTTTCATCAGAAGAAGTCACAAAACAACAAGACAAGCAACTCATCGAATCATACTTGTCACTGATGTCTATACCAGAAACATCATGCAGAGACAGGAAAAGGATCCACTTGGACAAATGTTTGCCTTCATTTTGCTTCATCCGAATGGTACGAGAAAGGCAACTTGTCATCGGCTCTCCTCCCCGACACAGTTCCCATGGCTGCGACTCCTCTGGGGCAGCGGCCGAGTCTGTTCTCCACCTCCACGGAGGCGCCGGACCTCAGCAGCAGCGCGACCACCTCGACGTGGCCGCGCGCTGCTGCCACGTGCAGCGGCGTCCCACCTCAGCCGGGAGAGGCGGCCACGAGGCTTGCCCCACAGATCAAGGCGTGAGCGAACGAGAGTTGTTGGAAAACTCGCAAGCTGCGCAAGCTGCGCATCCCTAAATATCATAATTAGTCCAACACAAGCATTGCACGCCATCTGACAAAAGAATGCCAGGAGAAACACAAGGAGAGGAGGGAGCTGTTGCCAATGAAGAAGCTGTGACTAGGGGTTGGAAAGGATTGTGTCCCGGTGAGCTCAGACACCGTTGTTCAAGTTGTTGCGGATGCTGGGTGAGTGAAAAAGCCAATATCACCCAAAAACCAGAGCCGATCATGGCACAAATGTAGCCGGTTTTGATTTGACACCCTAGAAATCTGAAAACTGCAATTGGATAAAATTCTGCCATATTCTGCCTTTGTTCTTCAGCTGCATGGTTGTGGACGAGTTGCCTGTGTGCCAAAAGCACTGACACAAGGCTTGGGATTTTTGGAGAGCTCGAAGGCAGGCTTGAAGAACAGAGTTCCACAGCATGTGGCAGAAGATTTGTGTGGGATTAGAGGGATTGGCACTTCTGCTGGTGGCCCGCCAAGTCGATTCTGTGCGAGGGATGGCTTAACCATCAAACGCCATCTGGCAAAACAAAGACAAGCAACGTAACCGCGCAAGACTATCTACAGTCCGGAACCTGGTTCATATACACGAATCGGGGGAAGAAAAAGTCTGTCTTGGACCCTCAAGTGCTTCCACAGAACCTTGGTGGTGCCACACAGTCAGGACCCAAGTCGGCCCAGTGGAACACTCTCCTTACCAAGCCAGACTTCACCAAAAAGATACCAAGCTTATGGAAGGCGTGGATCTGCTTCGTAGCTCCCAACTTCAGTTCCGAGGCTGCGGCCGAAGTGTATATCCTTCCTCTCCAGGCTATCGGGGTCGACGCGCAGGAAGTGCCTCACGGCACCCACGTTGTCCTCCTTGGCCGCCTGATGTACGTCCTTGCCTCGGGCATCACACGAGTCAACCCCTCGGGCACGGCTCGTTAATGCCCCAAGAGAACAGGAGAAACATACCCGCGTAGATACGCCATCCAGGACGGGAAAGCCTGAAATAAAGAAACCAGCATGAGACATGATGAACCAATTCCCTTGAGGCCAAGCTCTTTGGAGCTCTTTGGATTTTTGATTCCCAGCGCTGCATGGATTTTGTTCTTTTTCCGGCCAGGGGATGAGGATGGCAAAGCAGATCTCGAGGCGCAAGATTTCCAATGCATAGAACCCTCGAAAAAAAATGTTATGGAAAATAAACGAAACGAAATTAACTCAACAGAAAGCTACCTGTAGCCGGCTGAGCGAATTCAACAATCTTAGGTCTTGACAGTTTTTAGCTGCAGCTTTGTCTGCCTTGACGGGCAAGAATGCCAACTGTTTCACAGAGAATTGTTTTGCAGAGTTCTAAGATACCATGTCCAGAGTTGTTTGAACAGAACATGGCCCCAAACTCGAAAGTTCAAACAGACCGGCTAGCTGAACGGATCAGTTGGACCATGGCAGGTTTACCAACAACGAGGACAATTGTTGACACTATCAGCAGAATCTGCAAGCCGAGCTGGCACCACATTTCCGCACCAAGAAATTGACATACATACATGTTCAACCCAATCAGTCCCAATCTCCACACCCCAAACATTCGCACCTCAGGGTCTATTGACAGGGCAGCTGCGGCCTTGCAAAGTCCAAAATCGTCCAAAGTTTGTGTAGCGGTATGGCAAATGATTTGCAGCGCATGTGAGGAGAAATGCTGAGATTTGATTCTCTGTACCCGGTAGGTGATGAAAAACAAACACATACACCGCATGATGCCCTATCATTTCTTTTTACCGTGGTAGTGGATCCAAGCAATGTCTATTTCTATCAAAAAAAATGAGAAAATTGAAGAAGCATTTGCCTGATATGGTTAGCATGTCAAAATATGGCTGAAATTGAAAAATAGAAATACTCCATGAGGGTTGTATGATTTTGTTACTGTTTGTTGTGCTTTGTGCCTGAAATGTCCCGTCCAATCCGTCCCAATCTCCACACTCCAAACATTGGCACCTCAGGGTCTATTGCCACGGCAGCTTCGGCCTAGCAAAGGCGTCCAAAGTTCGTGCAGCGACGTGGCACATGATTTGAAACTCATGGCGAGAAATGATGGGACCGATTTTCTATAACCAAGTGATGAAAACAATTTTCTGTGCCCAAAAAGACCATGGCCAGGCTGGCCAACAACCACCGTGTTATTGACACATTCTGGATGTAAAAATTGATCTGGCTCCAAATCTCCACAGTGTGGCGAAAAGTGCTGGATCTTGGGTCCAAGAAAAGATCGAACGGGATACGGCAGCACTCAATCTGCATTCATCTACTGATGGAATGCCACTGGTCCATTGGAGCAATATCATAACGAGCGTCCACCGGCCGCCCCAGAAACCAAAACGTTTCAGGGTTGACATGGCCATAGAAGTTATATCAAGTTAAACATGGATCATCCCAATCTCCACATCTCCAGCCGCCTGGGCCGGGTAGGCCGAGCTGGAGGTCATACTGCGGAACTCAGAGTTCCTGATACAGGAGAAAAACGATAGAAATCGATGAAACATATAGAAAAATCAGGGACAAACATGATAAAATCAATATTGACATCTATAAATATGAAATCCTTTACGTTACTTTACGTTGGTTGGTTAGCTCCCCTATTTGGCGTAAGACCAGGGATGCCCACCATGGATTTTCTCCTCTCCATGACCCGTGGAGGAGTTTTTTGGCAGTGGGGCTTGACTTTGAAGAATATGTGACTCAAGTCTGAAAGCTTTGGATAAACCACAGACCCTATGAGGACTTTGTTTACTCACTGTTTGCATTCAATTTGAGAACTAAGCGGAATTCAAACAGTGCAAATGTGGGACAACCAGTTCACCTGCTGACCTTCCTGGTTCAGAAGCTCGGGAAAAACAGCTCTGGTAGCTGTGGAAATCTAGAGAACTGATCCAAGGCCATGTGAACCATTTCAGGCCCTTCGGAAGCATACTCCGTGAAGACTACACGGCGCTTTTGTTTCATGCGAACCGAACTCAATCTGTGTGAATATCGACCTTTTCATTTGTTTTCAGGATTTGGACAAATTATAATAAACTATATCCGAAATGGTTGAAACATGTTGAAACCACAGTTTAATGACGTTACTTCTTTCTTTCTATGTCATTCCAGATATTTTAGCTACAGCTTTCTCGTATCAACCTCGACCCAGTCCTGGAGATCCGAGGGACCCCAAGGCCCCAAGGCTCGGCCCTTGGGGGACACCATCTTTGGTTCAAACGGGAAGAAAAAATCTCCAGAAATGGTGGTTTTTTCATGTTTTTCCAGGGACTTCACCGGAGAAATGTTTGATTTTCAAAGATCTTTATGTGTTTGGTATTATTTTTTGCTTCAAAACTGATGGCTGGGATTCCCCAAAAAAATGGAAGAAGCGAAATTTCGATTTTTTTTTCTTCGAAAAACATCCGGCAGCTGAGGCTCAAGCGCTCAACAACTGCTTGAACAATGCCAATGGGTGAACGGAGTGGCGCTACGGAAAAAATGTTGCAACTGTCGCATTGGGATGATCCAACTGAACCCAATCTGGAGCAGCCCCTTGGGAATCCTTGAGACCTTGAGTTCTTTCCAGTGCACAGTGACGAATGAAATGTTGCTACATGCAGAAATAAACAATGTCCTGATGACACATCCTGTGTGGAATTTTGCTACTTGACATTTGCCTTCCACTGTGGAGCTGCAAACTGCGCTATGCAAGGAAGGGAATGAGCAAAGGAGATTTAACAAATGTCTGGGTCCCAAATGATCTGCAAAGGTTGAGCCCCTATCAATGTTGAACCTTAATGGACAAGCTGTGAGCTAGGCCGGGTACAACGTTGACTGAGCGAAGAAATGTGGCACAAGGTGGGATCGCCAGCCGCTGGGACGGTCTTTTAGGCCTTTTACATCACGGGCCTCCGGCTCCCTAACATGGGGCAAAATTCCGGTCAACACTGGAAACCCATCCATTATCCGTTTCAACTATATTTATATTATACAAATCCTCGTGACAGCGTCTGTATCGTATGCTCTGCTTTTTGCATCTTTTTGCGCCTTGAGTAGAGAAAGAATGAGCCAAAGAGGCTCCAGGAACATTCTCCAGCTGCTCTGATTTTTCAAGCATAATTCTGTAGCAATCGAAGAAAGTTTAGCTGGAGAAGATTCCAATGCGCGCCACTGAGTTGGCAATCTGATCAGCAACGTGTTGGGCCCGAGTCATCTGCCGATCATCTATGTACACCAGGCCGTTTTTGTCCAACTCTCCGAGCCTTCACTGGCGTAGGAAAGGGTCGATCTTCCGGAGTGAGCCGGAGAAGTCGACCCAGGGGCACGTGGCCGGCAGGCAGCACCTGAGCTGGTGGAAATTCATTGTGACAGAATGCGGATAAATGTGTGGATCATAAGAATCACAAGTCTTATGTGATATAGCATATTTTTCGTTACAAGAATATAAATTATATCTAACATTAATATGATAATATATATGACATTTAACGGAAAAGAGCGCTGTGAGGGTTTGGTTTTTGGGCACATGTGAAAATGCCCAAATATTTATATAAATATATTTTATTTAAATGAATAATTTACATGTCTTCTTAATACACACACGTGCACGACCAATCTGCTTTCCACCACCTGCCCAGGGAATGCTTTCTGGATACTGAGTAAGAGTAGCATGTGTACGGCACAAGCAACAGGGAGCTACACATCCTTTCTCCAGTTCCCACCACGGGTCTCAAGGTTAAATCGATTCAAAGAAAGACGATTGTTGGCAGTTGCCTGGACAAGATACCTCTTCCAGAGCCGAGACGTCCTTCAATGCGGGAAGTCCTTGATTTCGACGCCATCCTATCCGGTCCCATCTGTTTTTTCCCACTCAACGAGTCGCTCTGCAACAAAGATCCGCAAGATTTGTTGTTTGCTGCAAACAAAGAGCCGCCTTGCCAGAAATTCTTGAAGCTTGAACTTGGGATGAAAAAATACGAAAGACATTAATCGATTGGAATCTTGAGAGCTCTTTAATCCAGACTCTCCGACTGAAAATGCAGACATTGATGAAACATTATGAAACAAATGAAAATCGATGAATGAAAATTCGTGAATACGAAATAATTCGAATCAAGATGTGAAGCTGCCAAGGGCTTCATCCCGTCCTCAGGCATGGGGTCTGCAGCAGAATACGCCTTGGGTCGAGACAGAACTAGGACTTCAAATGACGCTTCCAGCTGCGGACCCTGTCTGCTTGGGGGTGACCCTTATGGCATTATGGCAATATACATCAATAGACATCAATATACCAGAATATACCATAATGTACCGGTTGAGAGACAAGATGGCAGACAAGACAGCACCCATGCTCCAACTTAGAGCCACCAGGCAAGGAAACAAACTATGAGTCTATGAGACCAGGCAAGAAGCACCCGAATGGATGAAGGTGTGACCGATGCTCTATAGAAAGCCATCCCTTACAGATCGAGCTTGGAATTCTGAGGATTTCCGCGGCTAAAACGACTGTCAAAATACAGCAAAAGAAAACAAGCTCGCTGACAAGGAATTTGGAACTAAAGAAGTGGCATGAGAAAAGATTATATATGTAATATGTAATTTTAATTAATTTTAGATAAACATGATCTTGTAAAGAAATACACATGTCAAATATGTTCAGGCAACTGCATTAGCCTTGGATCACTTCTCCACATCCGAATCCAAAAGCTTTGGATATACGATGATGATACATTTAGATACAAAACAAAGAATTGTGCAGATGTACAAAGCATGCACATGTGCACATGAATATGTTGGCTTATTGACTTGCACAATCACAAGCTTTCTATGGGCTTGATGAGGAACCCCAGCAATAGCACAGGCATTTCAGCTTGCCACCACCCGCCTCTGTTTCAGCAGGGCCCTCTTCATTTTCGGCCTCTGATGCCTTAACGCAACATCCGAATGAAACCGAGATGGGATGAACATGGTGGTTTCTGCATCATAAAGCGATGGCTAGTCAAAATGAATGGCTTTAGGTTCGCTGAGCATCGTTTTCGTCCGCTTGTCTTTCACAATTCCCCCAATGTTCCCCGTCAGCCACTCCTGAGTGACTTTTGCATTGAGCCAAGGCACAGCAATCACCGCGGTCAACGTGTTGCCCGGTACAACGGCGGCTGCAGCAAGCGTCTTGCTTTCATCCCTGGGCCAAGCAAACTTCTGGCACACAAACCGCCGTTCAATGATCAAATCTGGGGACTGATGTGGCAGGAAGTGACAGGAAGTGACTGGTAGATTGAAAAATCACCAGGTAAGTGTTCAATCTAAGGGGGGGGATGTAGGTATGCCTGTATGTAGACAGTTGAAATGACACACCTGTGACCAAATCCCGGTTCGGCGACATCAACTGGAGCTGTGGAGCCCAGGGTTGGATGTGCAGCCCTGTCTGGCCCTGTCTTTGAAGGGGAACGTTCTGTTCCTTCCTTGCCTTGCCTTGCAAACCATGTCTCAAACATGCAGCTACAGTTTCAACATTGACCACACTGCATCACACCAATTATACGCAGTTTGGGGAGCAACAATCGCAATACCAAGCAGAGTTTCAAGATCGAGCTTCAGGAGTTCTGTGCAGCCCGAGTGGCAGCGGCTCATGATTCTGCCCGATGATTCGCTTGATGTTGACACCGAGTTTTTTCCTTGGGTCGGACTGGTCACGTAGAAAAAATAGCAGGTGCAGCAGGTGTGAACCGGTTGCAAACCGACGGATCCCAAAGCCATCCCCGACGTCCACACTTCACAAGGAAAAGACACCCTTGGGTGAAAAACATGAAAAAACTTCATGCAAAGGCCTAGTGTGGACAATCAGGAATTGACCACTGAGTGGTTCCCATTCTCACCTGAAAAAAATCAATCAATGAAAAGGGGAGAAATTGTTTGGGGTATCATGAAGGGCCCAATGATCCATCTGGGAATCTGGATGAGATGACTTACCCATCTGTCTACAGCACGCCACATCATGATGCACCTAGTCGAAGACAAGTACCAAGTGTGTACCAACTGTAGTGGTGGTTCTTTTTTCTCTAAGCTGAGCCAAAAATGATTGTGGAGGTCCAAGTTTCCTTGCAAGATGTGATTTCAGGATCGGTAGACAAATACTTCTTTCATGTTACTCTCGAATGATGATTTCTGAAACCCCCGAGACACGCAAGAACCAGCGCCCTGTGGCTCCCAGTCATCTCGGAGTTCATCTCTGTGCCGAGGCGCTCGGCTTCTTCCTTCAACTCCAACACAGTTCGCTCCGGTGACGAGTTGCCTCAGTTCGGTTGGGTTTGATCCAATCTTCGGATGCACAACACGGATGCACAAGTGAGTGGACTGCTGTCCGTCAATGTGGTGCCTCAACACGAAACATGTCATGGGGTGGGATGAAGATGCAAGTCGCGCATCTTGGCAGACCAATTCATTTGAAAATATGGTGTCATTCATCATCGTTTTGCTACAACCACGTCGAATCAACTGATTGCGTCTTGTAACTTATATTTTGGGTGAGAGTGTTCTTGCTAAATGAAGTTGCAGTTTCCCGAAACCTGGAAAATTGGTATCTTCCAATATGTAACTTCCGGTCCCCTTGAATTTTGGATGGGCGTCCACAATGTCAGATTACATTTAGAAGGTAAAACCTTCCTAAATGTAATGAGTTTCTTTGAAGATGCAATTTCTTGGGATGAGCCCGTCACACAAAATGTCATTTACTTCTTGGGGGGTCCCCCAAGTATGGTGTTCCCTGTGTGAAAACAGGAAAAAAAGGCAACATTTAAAACAAGGTTGATGGAGACGTTTCCAAACAACCCAAATATGGATGGGTGAGGGGCAAGAAAATGTAAGTTACAATTTGCCAGCCCCGCATCCCCATGTCCATGGTCACAACATACCTAATCTATTCCAGTTTTGGGATGCACAACAAGGATGCACAACAGATCACAAAAGTGTGGACTCCGTCAACGTGGTGCCTCAACACGAAACATGTCATGGGGTGGGATGAAAACGCGACTCCCTTATCCGGGCAATCCAAGTGCCTTGAAAACCAATTATTCACTTTGTTTCAACATTTTGCTGGTTACTATACTACGCTATACTATTTTGACGGTCAACAGGTCGAATCAATAGGCACTTCACCATGGTGTATCATCTATGACGGCCACCAGGGTCCCAGTGCTTTGAAAACCCATTGAAAACTAATGTTGATGTACTATTCGGGGGTTGCTTTTTTCCACTGACGGTCAGCAGGTATTCCTCGGATCATCTACCCACAACGCCCAGGTGCAACGGCAGCTTCGGCCACTCAGCAGAGCCACAAAGACCTCGGTGTTTTTTCATGGCGCCGACACGACTGTGGTGCTTAGGGCAAGGAATACGGGGGATGCACCAGGTATAGTTCAGGCAAGAAAATCTGATGGGCCAGAATCAACTAACGGGACAATGTGGAAAAATGTTTGGAGCACCAATCCTCTGCGAAGCAAACAAGTATAACAAGTAGGGTGAGAGCAACGGGTATACAATTCCCTATCAATGACGGGATGACCATTCCCTTTTATGGGAAAACATTCCATGTCTTGACCATCGCACATATAACTAACAATCAACAAACAACGACAAGAAAGGTAATTGTTAAATGGCTGGGTATATGTGGCGGTGAAATGTAGTTAATGTAGTTCTACAGCAACGTAGATCCCAATTTTTGATGGTTTAATCCTCATGTTGGGTGGTCAACTAATAAATGATATACAAACTTCCAAATACTTTTGATGGCTCATGTTTTCTCATGTTTGTTTATCGTTCAACTCTCATAGTATCCAGAATGTTTGATCATATCATGGGTCAGACTAGTAATATGAGATATGTCCATCATGGTTGATCTTCGTCATGGCTCCAGAACGGCTGCCAAGAGGCTGGGCGAAGGAGGCCCATCACCTGGCGGTGGCCCCGCCCCTTGGCCCAGTCGTAAGGCGTGTCGCCTAAGGCGCGGCGGCGGCGTTTTGGCGTGGGAACTCAGAAAGTCCTATGGAGGTGGACAGATAAATCATTTTCTCAGGTTAAAAATAACACTCATGGCATTTGCCATGCCGAGTTTTCAATTTCTGGTCAAGTCTGGCAAGTCAATGCTCATGGCTGTGATGTGAAGGATCCGATATGATCCGATATGTTTCCATTTTTCAAACTCTGAACATATCTGCAACAAATCAAGAAAATCACTACGTTCCACCACTTACCGTCTTTACTGACAGTAAACCGTACCTATTCGCAGTGTATCACACCTCCCCGGGAGGGCCCGGGAGGTGGCCGCAAAACTCACCTGCAGGTCGAAAGCCTTTTGCCAAGACTTTCAACTGATTTCAGTGTAATCAGAAGTAACCAGGTTTGAGGGTTTCGGGTTTTCGGGGGTCTGGTCTCAAGAGTATCAGGACTGGTTTGATATGTTTTATTCAGGGGCCAATGCTTGGAGATGCACTGACAAAACCATAAATGTGTTCAATCATGTTCAATCCAAAAAAGACAACTACAGTAGGTCTACTACGTCAAGGGCATCAGTGTCCTTGAGCGTGCTCTGAAGCATCTTCCTTTGCAAATCCTTGTGTTGAAAGCACCGCGTGCACCCAGCGTCGTCCACCCAGCGTGTCCAAGTGTTCAATGTGTCTCTCTTCATAACTCTTTTCACAGAACCAGTGCAATGTGCAAGTTAAAGTCTTCAGGGTTGTCAGCATCGCATATATCGCATGTTCTTCCCCTTCCTCTCCTGTGAGAACTACACTACTCAGCTTGTCCGACATTTTCATGCGCCGCATCCTCAGCTCCTCCTTCCCTCTTCCACTGACTTATGTCTGTTGCTTTAGCTGCTCAATACCCAAAACAACCGCAATAAGTTTGCATCAAATCAGGTCAAGCTGAAGATTGCGACGTCATTGGCCAGTGGCCAGTCTGCGCCTACATCCTTCTGCTTTCCGTTCCACTCATGCCTTTGCCCTCCATGTTTGGCCATTTCTTACACCCGAATTTCAAGAGGCCCATCCCATCACAAAAGTGGATCCTTAAACAACAAGTACGAGTACCATTCAACATCCCAAAGCACAGCACAAAAATCAGCTGCCAATGTACGAACCCCTTCCGTCACCTCGTCAGAGCCACTCGCAAAACGACCCGAAAACCCTTCCGGGGCCACGGCCGATTCCATCGGCCGCGTCCACCGTGGCCCCCGCAGAGATCAGCTGCTCGACCACGGCGGCATGGCCTTTCACAGCCGCAAAATGCAGCGGCGTCTCGCCTCGGGCGCCGAGGATGCGACGCGGAAGGGCAGGCGGCTGCGGCTGCCGTCGAGAAACAAAGCGTAGTCATGGGATGTTTCTCCGGGTTGTTGGGCAAATATTATTGGATAGGTCATAGATAGAAGATCTGCCAAGCTGATACTTTTTGTATGTTTTAGTGTGAGGCATGGCGAAAAACGCGAGGAGCAATCATCGCAAATATGTTCTTGCTCTATCGTGTTGTTGAAATCTTACCAGCAGTTGCACCTGACTATCGCAGCATCAAGTGTCGCCTGTTTAGAAACTATTTCATGAATACCTTTGGACTATCCAAATGCGGATAAACCGTTTTCTCAAGTTATATAAGAAATAAGAGTTTTTAGGGATTACCAAAACTGAACAAAATGGAGTCCATTAATCTCATGATGACAGGAAATTTCGATGAATTTTGATTTAAAAATATGATGCTTGCGTGCCTTGGACACCTAAATATCCAGTGGGATTGACCCAGGTGTCCAAGCTCATGGCACTCACGCCATTTGTATCCATTTGTCATCATTTGTCATGCTGAATTTTCATGAATTGTCAATGTTTGGTCGCGTCAAGTCTGGAACAATCAATGCCTCACAGCTGTTCTTTCAAGGATCCCATGTGTTTTCCATTTTCAAACTCAGGATACAGGCCGGCAACAAAAATAAAATCACTATACATTCTACCGCTGGCAGTGAAAATATCTGACAGCTCTGCTGTCAAAATTTGTTCCATACGGCGATCGCAATTTCAAAGACAAATGTGGGATCAAGCACAAAATCATTAAAAAAACAAATCCAGTGAACACTTTGAGACCACGTGATGCCTTCTGCTTTCCATCTCATTTCTTTTACCCGAATTTCAAGAGGCCCATCCCATCACAAAAGTGGATCCTTAAACAACAAGTACGAGTACCACTCAACATCCCAAAGCAAAGAACGAAAATCAGCTGCCAATGTACGAACCCCTTCCGTCACCGAGCCACTCCCAAAACGACCCGAAAAACCTTCCGGGGCCACGGCCGCGTTCGGTGGCCGCGTCCACCGTGGCCCCTGCAGAGATCAGCTGCTCGACCACGGCGGCCTGGCCGTTCTCAGCCGCCACATGCAGCACCGTCCTGCCTCGGCACCGAGGATGCGACGCGGAAGGGCGGGCGGCTGTGGCTGCTGTCGAGAAACAAAGTAGTCATTGGATGTTTCTCCGGGTTGTTGGGCAAATATTTTTGGATGGGTCATAGATAGATCTGCCAGCCGATACTCTTGGTGTGAGGCACTGGGGAAAAAACGAGAGAATCATCGCAAATCAATCATGTTACATGTTTGTTTAATGGAGATCTTACAAGCAGTTGCACCTTCCTTTCGCAACATCATGTGTCGCATGTATAGTGTTTCATGCCAAGTGCAGTGAAATCAGGACAGGCCTCTATATCCTCATGGAGACATGCCTGAATGAAACGTAACAAACCCAGAACATCCCATAACTATTGTAGGTCATAGATAGAAGATCTGCCAAGCTGATACTTTTTGTATGTTTTAGTGTGAGGCATGGCGAAAAATAAGAGGAGCAATCATCGCAAAATATGTTCCATACGGCGGTCGCAATTTCAAGGACAGATCTGGGACCAAGCTCCAAATCATTAAACCCGAACCCAGTAAACACTTGAGACCACGTAATTCCTTCTGCTTTCTACTCGTTTCATCTCATTTCTTTTACCCGAATTTCAAGAGGCCAATCCCATCACAAAAGTGGATCCTTAAACAACAAGTACGAGTACCACTCAACATCCCAAAGCAATGTACGAACCCCTTCCGTCACCTCGTCAGAGCCACTCGCAAAAGGACCCGAAAACCCTTCCGGGGCCACGGCCGATTGTGGCCCCCGCAGAGATCAGCTGCTCGACCACGGCGGCATGGCCTTTCACAGCCGCAAAATGCAGCGGCGTCTCGCCTCGGGCGCCGAAGATGCGACGCGGACGGCGGGGCAGCTGCGGCTGCCGTCGAGAAACAAGCGTATAGTCATGGGATGTTTCTCCGGGTTGATGTTGGGCAAATATTTTTGGATAGGTCATAGATAGAAGATCTGCCAAGCTGATACTTTTTGTATGTTTTAGTGTGAGGCATGGCGAAAAATAAGAGGAGCAATCATCGCAAAATATGTTCCATACGGCGATCGCAATTTCAAGGACAGATCTGGGACCAAGCTCCAAATCATTAAACCCGAACCCAGTAAACACTTGAGACCACGTAATTCCTTCTGCTTTCTACTCGTTTCATCTCATTTCTTTTACCCGAATTTCAAGAGGCCAATCCCATCACAAAAGTGGATCCTTAAACAACAAGTACGAGTACCACTCAACATCCCAAAGCAAAGAACGAAAATCAGCTGCCAATGTACGAACCCCTTCCGTCACCTCGTCAGAGCCACTCGCAAAACGACCCGAAAACCCTTCCGGGGCCACGGCCGCGTTCGGTGGCCGCGTCGACCGTGGCCCCCGCAGAGATCAGCTGCTCGACCACGGCGGCCTGGCCGTTCTCAGCCGCCACATGCAGCACCGTCCTGCCTCGGCACCGAGGATGCGACGCGGAAGGACGGGCGGCTGTGGCTGCCGTCGAGAAACAAAGTAATGCTGGGACCCCAAAGTGAAGATTTTTCACTTCAGGCACTTAATGAAAATATTATTAGTTGTTTGAACTTATCATAGGACTGATTTTTACTTATTTTCACTTATTTTCACTTGTTTTCACTTATTTTTTTATATATTTTTGAAGGTTCAGAAGGGATCATAGACGAAGGATTTTCCTGTCATACATTCTGAAGAACAGGTTTGGACAGAAAAAGAATTTTGGAATAATGTCGATTTTTTCTTTGTCTGGTGGTTTTCTTTTTAGTTTTATATTATCTTATTTCCGATGGCAGAATTTTATTATCTTATTTTTCTCATTTTTTATACAATTTATTTTTATTTTTGTATACATATATATATATATACATGTATATTTCTGATTTTTTGTAATTATCTGAATTTTCTGAAATTTCTGATTTTTTTGAATTTTCTACATTTTCTGAATTTTCTGATTTTCTAATTTTTCTGAATTTTCTGAATTTTTTGAATTTTCTGAATTTTCTGAATTTTCTAAATTTTCTGAATTTTCTGAATTTTCTGGGGGGGGTAGAATTTTTGAATTTTCTGAATTTTCTGAGAGGGCCAGAATTTTCTGAATTATTTATATTTAAATATATATATATATATAATTCTGAATTTTCTGAATTTTCTGGGGGGGCCAGAATTTTCTGAATTTTCTGGGGGGGCCAGATTTTTTTGAATTTTCTGAATTTTCTGGGGGGGCCAGAATTTTCTGAATTTTCTGAATTTTCTGGGGGGCCAGAAATTTCTGAATTTTCTGAATTTTCCGAATTTTTTGAATTTTCTGGATTTTCTGATTTTTTTGAATTTTCTAAATTTTCTGAATTTTCCGAATTTTCTGAATTTTCTGATTTGTTCGAATTTTATAAATTTCTAAGGTTTCTGAATTTTTCTCTTCCATTTGTGGGGTCGTTGCTACCGGACTCTTTCCTGTTGGAGTCCTCGCAAATTCCACCACATTCGCAGACAAGGCAGCCAATCGTTCAAGCGCCGACATTGCTCTTCTCTTCAACTGCCCTGCCCTTTGAAGCCAAAATTGCTCCATGGGGATCGACATACATGTCTGTTACTTCTTAGAAATGAAAAAAACTATTTTCACTTATTTTGACTTATTTTTACTTATTTTTACTTATTTTCACTTATTTTCACTTATTTTTGAATAGTATTCAACTATATTTGATTATATATTCATTATTATGTTATAAGTTCACCTAAACGATAAATGGAACTAAAAACTGAATAATTTTAAAAATACTATTTAAACGGGATATTAGCAGGATAATCGAAGGAAGTTTAGAAGTCAAACTTCTGACAATATGGACAGATGAAAAGCAGAGCAGGGCAGAGGCAGAGAGAAGAGAAAGATTAGAAGAGAGAAGAGTAGAAGAGAAAGAGTCAGAAGAAAGAAGATACAGATGCGCGAAAAGGTAGGAAAGTCGCGAAACACTGTGTTTTTCCAATGATTTGCGGCTCCGGAGGGTCGAAAAGTAGGCTCGCTGAAGCGGCGGGTGCGGAGCCAGCTGGCCAGATGAGAAATGAAAGAGTGCACGCCGTTGTGGCGCGAAGCACATTTCCAAGTCAAAATGTTAAAAACGCACCAGCTTCGGACCACTTTTGGAAGTTGAGATGTCGAAAAAGTGCACGCCGTTGTGGCGCGAAGCACATTTCGAAGTCAAAATGTTAAAAACGCTAGGGGTTCGGACCACTTTTGGAAGTTGAGATGTCGAAAAAGTGCACGCCGTTGTGGCGCGAAGCACATTTCGAAGTCAAAATGTACAAAACACCACATGTTCGGCCACTTTTGGAAGTTAGATGTTGAAAAAGTGCACGCCGTTGTGGCGCGAAGCACATTTCGAAGTCAAAAGTGTAAAAAACTGAGGGTTTTTGAGCCTTTTTTGACGTTAAGATGTCGAAAAAGTAGACACTGATTAACTTAACTAACTGACTAACTTAACTAACTTCACTAACTAACTACCCTAACTTCGACGACAACAGCAAAGCAAAAAAACAACAACAACAACAACTAACAACAACTACAACTACAACAACTACAACTACAACTAACAACAACTACAACTACACAACAACTACAGCTACAACAACAACTACACACCTAAACACAACTACAACAACTACAACTAACTACTACAAAACAACTACACTACAACTATATGACTGCAACTACACTACACTAATTACATTACACCACAACTACAACTCCACTACGCTACAACTACAACTACAGTTGCAGTACATCACACTACATCCAGCAGTTGTGGGTGAGGTGACCACTGCAACCATTGCAACCACTCCAGCAAACACAACTCCAACCACCTTTCGGTCAATCAGTGGATTCGCTCTGCCATCCGTGATTCACAACAACCAAGCTCTCCTATAGGTTTCCTATTTTTGAAACTTCCGCCACCGCCTTGTGCGGTACTACTGGTAGCAACTTATCAGATACTTATAAATTCATTAAGTGCCTGAACTGATAATATCTTCACTTTGGGGTCTCAGTAGTCATTGGATGCTTCTCCGGGTTGTTGGGCAAATATTTTTGGATGGGTCATAGATATAGATCTGCCAGCCGATACTCTTGGTGTGAGGCACTGGGGAGAAAACGAGAGAATCATCGCAAATCAGTCATGTTACATGTTTGTTTAATGGAGATCTTACAAGCAGTTGCACCTTACTTTCGCAACATCATGTGTCGCATGTATAGTGTTTCATGCCAAGTGCAGTGAAATCAGCCCAGGCCTCTATATCCTCATGGAGACATGCCTGAATGAAACGTAACAAACCCATAACATCCCATAACTATTGTAGGTCATAGATAGAAGATCTGCCAAGCTGATATTTTGTATGTTTTAGTGTGAGGCATGGCGAAAAACAAGAGGAGCAATCATCGCAAAATATGTTCTCGCTCTACCGTGTTGTTTAGATCTTACCAGCAGTTGCACCTGGCTTTCGCAACATCATGTGTCGCGTGTTTAGCTTTGGACTGTGCGGATAAACCGTTTTCTCAAGTTAAGCAATAACAAGAAATAAGATTCTTGAGGGATTACCAAAACTGAACAAAATGGAGTACACTAATCTCATGATGACAGGAAATTTTGATGAATTTTGATTTAAAAATATGATGCCGGCGTGCCTTGGACACCTACTGTAAATATCCAATGGGATTGACCCAGGTGCCCAAGCCCATGGCATTCACGCCATTTGTCATGCTGAGTTTTCAATGTGTCGTCGCGTCAAGTCTGGGACAATCAATGCCTCACAGCTGTTCTTTCAGGGATCCCATGTGTTTTCCATTTTCAGACTCAGAATACATGCCTGCAACAAAAATAAAATCGCTACATTCTACCGCTGGCAGTGAAAATATCTGACAGCTCTGCTGTCAAAATTTGTTCCATACGGCGATCGCAATTTCAAGGACAGATCTGGGACCAAGCTCCAAATCATTAAACCCGAACCCAGTAAACACTTGAGACCGCGTAATTCCTTCTGCTTTCTACTCGTTTCATCTCATTTCTTTTACCCGAATTTCAAGAGGCCAATCCCATCACAAAGTGGATCCTTAAACAACAAGTACGAGTACCCCTCAACATCCCAAAGCACAGCACGAAAATCAGCTGCCAATGTACGAACCCCTTCCATCACCTCGCCAGAGCCACTCCCAAAACGACCCGAAAACCCTTCCGGGGCCACGGCCGTCTTCGTCGGCCGCGTCCACCGTGGCCCCCGCAGAGATCAGCTGCTCGACCACGGCGGCCTGGCCTTCCCGAGCCGCCCAATGCAGCGCCGTCTGGCCTCGGGCGCCGAGGATGCGTCGCGGAAGGCGGGCGGCTGCGGCTGCTGTCGAGAAACAAGGCGTAGCACTGGGATGTTTCTCCGGGTTGTTGGGCAAATATTTTTGGATAGGTCATAGATAGATCTGCCAGCCGATACTCTTGGTGTCAGGCATTGGGGAGAAAACGAGAGCAATCATCGCAAAACAAAGCTTTTCTCCAGGTGGTTGGGCAAAATTTGCGGATATGTCATAAATATCAGATCCACCAAGCCGATACTTTTTGTATCTTTTAGTGTGAGGCATGGCGAAAAACAAGAGGGGCAATCATCGCAACATATATATGTTCTTGCTCTATCGTTTTGTTTAAATCGTACCAGCAGCTGCACCTGACTTTCTCAACATCATGTGTCACGTGTCTAAAAAATATTTCATGAATAACTTTGGACTATCCAAGTGCAGTGAAATCAGGACATGTCTGACAAAAGAATGCCAGGAGAAACGCAAGAGCTGTGAGGTGGGAAGGTGCGGGGTTGAAACACAATGCGAGGTGCGGCTTGGTGGCAGGCATGAAAGTCATTGGACAAGTATTTCTGCCAAGGGAAACATTTCACTGTCCACTATACAGCGAAAAGGAAGGTTGGTGCGGGGTTGAAACCTATCTGATTGGGACAGGTTTGAAGACAAAAGTATTTGGAGTCTATTGTGCTAGACTTGAGAGTCCGAACATATCCATCAATATCAGCTTTCACTCAGAAGGGGAGCTGTTGCCGATGAAGAAACTGTGACTAGGGGTTGGGAAGGATTGTGTCCCGGTGAGCTCAGAAACCCTTTTTCAAGTTGTTGTGGATGCTAGGTGACTGAAAATGCCAACATCACCCGAAAACCAGAGCCGATCATGGCACAAATGTAGCCAGTTTTGATTTGATACCCTAGAAATCTGAAAACTGCAATTGGATGAAATTCTGCTTATGTTCTTCAACTGCATGGTTGTGGACGAGTTGCAGGAGTTGCCTGTGCCAAAAGCACTGACACAAGGCTTGGGACTTTTGAATACAGGCTTTAAGAACAGAGTTCCAAAACATGTGGCAGAAGATTTGTGTGGGATTGGCGCAGAGTTGATCACTCTGCCTTCTTCACTGCTTCCACTCTCAAAACTCAAAACACTCACCGATCAAATTCTCCATCCAAAATTTTGAAATAAATAATCGCAAATCAGAACGTTCGAATATGTTCAGGCTGAGTGCACAACGGTCCATGAGCAATGCAGGCGCACTGTTTTTGGACCGCTCATGGCATGGGGGCGAGCAGCCCAGTCAATCCCTTGTCAAATGAAAACAGATGTCATCGCTTAGAGCACATGCAGGCTCAAGCCGGAACGAGCTGGATAATGCACAGGTCAGCTCTGAACGGCAAGAGACATGAAACATGGCAGGATGACAAAAATGAACAATGCTACCCAATGCTGCTTGCAGAGAACTCCGGTGAGGTCAACCTCACCACACCCAAGAAGGGTGGGTGGGTCGTGGACAACGAAAAGTCAGGCCAAAGGTGATCACCACAAAATGATCTTGCGCCAAAATGGCACGAGGGTCAACGTCCTGAGCAGCAGGTGAAATGACCCCTCATGAAAGGCAAGATCAAACATGTATGAAATAAATTATATATCCCAGAGCAACCTATAAATCAGAGATCAGACATATAGGAACAGGGAAATATAAGATCATACATGTAGTAGCGAACACCAAACACAAAAGTAGAAACAGTGAACACAATCTCATATGAGTCCCTCGCTTGCTCCAGACCTACCTAACCGATAGCATGCAAACGACTCACGTTTCGATTGGCGCAGAGTTGATCACTCTGCCTTCTTCACTGCTTCCACTCTCAAAACTCAAAACACTCACCGATCAAATTCTCCATCCAAAATTTTGAAATAAATAATCGCAAATCAGAACGTTCGAATATGTTCAGGCTGAGTGCACAACGGTCCATGAGCAATGCAGGCGCACTGTTTTTGGACCGCTCATGGCATGGGGGCGAGCAGCCCAGTCAATCCCTTGTCAAATGAAAACAGATGTCATCGCTTAGAACACATGCAGGCTCAAGCCGGAACGAGCTGGATAATGCACAGGTCAGCTCTGAACGGCAAGAGACATGAAACATGGCAGGATGACAAAAATGAACAATGCTACCCAGGCCCACAAGTACCATTGAACAATACTCGAGGCCAGGAAGGATCGACTGTGGACCACCCAACACTAGTTCCCCTATCCATCAAATTGCGGGATGGCCAGTCGGCCGGATTGGCATCGGTCGATATTCGATCGATAAAAATTCGAGCCCGTAAACTGAGCGCCAGATCCCAAAAGATGGAAATGAGCAAACAAATGTCCTCACGACACGAATACCCTTTGATCAAAGCCCCTTCGACTGCCTCAGAATCGATCAGAAGGATAATATCAGCCCCTCTGACGCGATCGGCAAAAGTCTGAAGTGCAACGATCGGAGCAAGCATTTCGATCGGGACAATCTGTGTAGTTCGCTCACACCAAAAATTCTTGACCTGATCAGGAACAACTGCAGTAAACTGTCGAGGAGCATTCAACCTACGATCAAAAAGAACAGCACCTATCCTATCGGGCAAACGCTCAGGAGACCTCGGATCAGGAGTAAAACCATCAGTGAAGATCACTGCATCTGAGAGCCGTTCATGAGCCACATCAATCGGGCGAGGGGGCCCACCAGCGACGAGCTTCCTCCACTGTCTCAGGGACTCCTCAAGCGCTTTGCCCAACTTGAACTCGCCTCCGTTTGGAAACTTGCAGTACTGCCTTTCAGAAATGGATCGCAAAAATGCCCTACCGACTTTGCCCCACAACTGCGAGGCACCGAACATCAGCTTTCCTTTCAACTTTCCAGCAGAGCCTGGGTCTAGTAGACCAGAGTGAAGCACAGAATCCATTTCCTCGAGCAAATCATCACGCCTCTCTCTCTTGATCTCCAGCTGCATCAAATCCAAATTGTAGGTAACACCTAAAATGGTCGGGCTCGATGACAGTTGGAGCTTCTTCTGATCAAACTGAGCACCAAGCCACGTGTGAACACGTTCCGCCACTAACTTTGCGCTCGGGGCAGATGACGCTGGTTCAAAGCCATACTTATCGTCATAGAAACTGAAAGCTACCAGACCAAACAGCTTCACAAGGATCTCGTTGATGGCCGCCGAACAACGGTTGTAGTTGTAGACAGCGGACACCAAGCCAAATGAATGACCAACCATCACAAAGAACACAGGCTTGTTCGTGGCAGGGTTCTTGAGGCAGATCACCGAGAACTTTCTGTGATCAGGACGAACAGCCACTTGCCTATATGCTTTTCTCTCATCGAGCACCCACCCTCGAAGAGCTGCTTCAGGAGCCAAAGTCTTCAGGCGTCTGAGCGCTGCCACATTCATGTCGGTGGAGGGCAGTTGGAGTTTCTCCGTGATCTCTGTAATTTGGTTGATCATATTTGTGGTAGCACTATCGCACCCTCTGACCTTGTTCTTTTGCACGACTTCGAACCTCTGCGTTGGGATCCAATCATCACATCCCAGCATAGTCGTGACTTCTTCCGCGGCCTGAAAAGGTCCCAAACAAGAGCCTTCCACAACATCTTCGATTGTCGCATCCCAGATCTTCTGCAGATTTTCTGAGACAGGAACACCTGCAACTCGATGCACAATTTTCGAGCGTAAGTCCCAGGCCCGAGACAAAGCTTCTTGCACCGGGAAAACTTTCTGATCTTTAGGATATGGCGGCCAACGACCAGTTGCCGCAATCTTGCCGACGATGGGGAAGCCACGCAAGAGCAGATCCGGAAGGTCAGTGTCAACGGAGCCACACGCCTTCAGCATCTCCTCATAGAGGGCCACGTGGCAAATAGACCCCAAATGAGCACTTTGCGGATCAAGGGCGCCAAGCAGCAAGCGCCTGAGGGCAGCGTCAGGCTGCTGCATGATCCTGAAGATGGAGAGCGGCAATAGCTCCTGAGCCCTGCGCTCCCAAAAAGCGAGCAAACGAGCGCGTTCATGCACGATCTGGGCGCCCTTGTGTACAACATGCTGAAGAGCTTGTTCAAGATCTGCTGGAAGGCCAGCGGCTTGGGAGAACGGATGGGGCACCTGTAGGACCCAACGAATGGCTTCTCCCGGTTCCAGCTCAATGCCCAACAAAGGCTTGAGAGCACCACGCTTGAGCTGGTAGCCTGCAGCGAGAGCCCGGCGGGCCGTGTCGGCTTGCCGATGAACTTTCCACGGTCGCGTAGAAAGGAGCTCGCGCTTGCGATCATGTGCAGGAACCTTCAGACCAAACGAAGGAGCCAAATGTGCAAAGGGGTCCACAAAGAGCTGCGCGATCTGCACTGCCAATGTAGCGCACAGGCTCCAAGGGTAGATCTGAGCCTCCTTGGTGCGAAACACCATCTTCAGCTGTTGGGGGTCCCACACTTTGCCCTTTAGTTTCTCATGAACATGGTCGCCCGAGCAGCGCACGCACACTGAATCCAAAACTTCGGTGGAGCTGGCCAGCCGCGTCGGTCGGTTTCAGCCATGGCGTACCAAAAGCACACTGATCGAAGTCCAGAGCAAATGCACGAGCGCCCGCCAAGAGCTGCTGCATTTGGGCAGTGTCCCAAATTAAGCTAAGGAGGGGATTTTCAACGGTGAAATCGCCCCCAAGAGCAAAAACAAGAAAACAAGCCTCAGCCGAGCGTTCTAAAAACAAATTGCCAAGAAAAACGAGCACCTCATCACTTGGACGTAAGCCTGGTAGCCCTTCAGGAGCCTCTTTGGAGCGCAACGGCGGCGGGCCACCGTCTAGCTTGCGAGCTGCAGTGAATGTGTTACATGGGGTACCACAATGCAGGAAAAAGACCAGCCCCGCCGCAATGATCGCCATGATGTGAGCCCACACCGCGACATCCACCACATCGCTAGGAGTGGGCACCAGATCAGACAGCGCAATGTCCACTGGTGGTAGCACAGGGACCCCGAGCAAGTGAACAGCCTCCGTAATGCCAGCCTTGCCCGCAAAGAGCTCCAAGAAGAAGGGCCCACGAACTTGCAAGTCGGCCAGCGAGGAAGGCACGCTGTCCCAGGTAGGCCAAGGCTGATGGTGATCCAGCAAACGTGTCTGAGCACCCCAACTGGGCTGATCATCATTTGTCACTGAACTCACCGGCGGCTCGCATGTCCAAACGCCAGGAGGTGGGGAGCCGACCTCCTCCTGGCTGGCATGAGCTGCTCAGTGGTTGCCATGCCAAGGGTGGGCATGCCCACACTCGACACACGCGTGCTTCTGCTTGCACTGATCCCCAAAACGGCAGCCCAGAGAGCAATTGTAGAAAGGACAACGCCGGGGGCCCGAGTACTTGAACGAAGTGATGGTCTGCCACTCTTTTGCCGGAACCCGCTCATCACGGGAAGGCTTCTTGGACCCACCCGATTTGTCCCCTGCTGACTGAGCCGCCAGGGTGGCTCGAGCTTTCTGCAACTGGAGCTTCTGACGAGCACGCCGTGCCTTGTTCTTCTTGGACTTCGGTGAACTCTTGGGTGGAGAGCGCGAAGTTGAGCGATCTCGCTTCTTTGTCACGGGTGTCGATGGGGCCGTGGTGTGGAGCGCCTGCTTGAACTTGTCCAGCTCTGCGCTTGACCGAGCGTCATTCCACAACTGCTTGTGATGTGTCAGCACTTCCAGCAGAGCGGCCGAAAAGTTGGTGAACTGCTTCCTCTGATCAGAGCTGACCCTGTGAACCTTCTTGCGGATCAGGGTGTCGACAGTGAGCAGTAGCGCCAAGCCACGATTCTCGTGCCGCCATTCTTCGAGCTCAGCTAAGTACTTCAGGGGTCCTGCCGCATTGGTGAACTCACAGATGTTCAGGTACTCGAGCGTGATGAAGAATGCGTGGAGCTTGTCCATCACCTGGGACTCTGAGCTGGCCGCTGCCGGCTGATCCACCATGACCACGCGAAGAAGATCTTCGGCGTTCTTTGATAGACCAGTTTTCTGAGCGATCTGCTCGTTGCGAGTCCTGATCTCCCCCACCTCGTAAAAGTGCACAAAGCCGTGAACAAGAAAGTCGCGTTGAACACGTTCGACGAACTTCCGGTGGGGCTCCCGATGTGGTGGCAAGAGCACATCAGGATGTCTATTGACAAAGATTTCACGGAACTCTGCATGATCTTCACCTGGGATCTCAGGCACTTTCGATGGATCTTCTTCCATCTTCGCCCTGCGAGCTGCAAAATGATCCTGCATAGTGCTGCAGGTCTTCCACACTGCGGCCAGAGACGTGAGCGCCAACTCTTGAGCCGGGGCATCAGTGCCAAACCGAGCATGGTCGGGCACCAAATTCTTCAATGTGGCCTTGACTGACGCAATGTCGTCGCCCAACATGGCGAAGGTCTCGACCGTGAGCAGCCCAGAGTCAGCAGCCAGGCGACAAAGATCTTGATGAACACGTTGGCGGCCGAACACTTGTCGCAATGGCAGATCTGGCGTCTTGTCATTGGCATAGACCGTGCGATCGACCATGGTTGCGACGGCCGAGCGAACGAAGAGGCTTAAATTGAGCTGAAAAACTGAAAAAGGTTAAAATAAAAATCTCACTTCCCGCTTGATCCCTAGCAGCACGACAGACTCTGTAGCCAAGGCGCTATGCTGAGCCTTGTGCCACAACATCTGGCCGAGCTCGTGCGCAATGCTTACACAGAACGGAGGCGTCCGGCAAGAAGGAGCCAACATCAGTGCAATCTGCAATGCTAACCCGGCCACACGCTAGAACATTGTCATCTTCTTCAGCTGAACAATGGTAGCGGTAGTCATACGAGGACCTGGAGCCATCGGTCTTGACGTAGAAGTGAGCCTGGTTGAACGACGAGCGATCAACCGCATCCAGTTCCACCTCTTCAGTCTCCTCGACCGGATGGCACTGTGTGAGCATGTCTTGAACTAGCTGCTGGACCATCTTGGCCGGGATGGCTGAGCGGTTCCTGGTGTACTTGAGCACTAGAGGACCTGGGTTCTTCCAGTTCGCCTGAAGACCAATCTCCTCAGTGCTCCGACCAGCATGAACAGCGGCATCCAGCATAGTCACCCTGGCTGAATGTGCTGTGAGCTTCAGCACTTGGACCTCAAGGGACTTGAACTCCTCAGGGTCACCCTCGTGGTAATGGTTAAGAGCATGCTTGGCAAAATGCCGTAGCCACTGCAGAGAGCGCTGGTATTGAGCAGGAGCAGAGCGAAAGGCTTCACGAGTATTGAGGTCACGCATCCAGAAGTCGCGATCAAGGTCTTCTTGCTGCATAAACCCCATCCCTCCCTGAGCCAATCAACCCCAGAAAAACCAACATGGGGAACAACAAATTTGGTACCCCTTCTTTTCCTCTCAACTTTGGTCTGCCAAGCAACCCCGAACATGCCTTCTTCGGACATAGTGAGCTCGCCTGGCTTGACGTGCAGGGCGTCGTCATATCTGAGCGATGCAAACACCATGCACAGCCACCACCAAATGAACAGACGAGCTGCCTGGGGCTCCACCTCGTCCATGACAAAGAGCTCTAAGCATCGCACCACCGCCGTGGGAATGGGCACAGCTTCTTTGAGCGTCTTTGCACGTTTGCTGATCACTTCATTTTGTATAGCCAGCAGTCCCGCGTGATCAACGTCAGGACATTCGATTGCCAGCTTGGACGTAACCCACTTGACCGAAGTGCGGAACGTGGGAATGACCGATGGACCACACTCGTTGTTGTCAAGGTGCAGAGCATACTGAATGAGCTTTGCACTGGTCACAGGGTGTAAAACGATCCCCTTACTCTCAGCCCACTCAGCAAACCTCTCCCAGTTAGACACATGAACTGCCATGGTCCTTGGAGCACCAGAAGAAAGAACTAGCTGCCGGAGGCGAGCAATCTCTGCCGCTGACAGCCCGCTCTCATTGGTGGTCTCCAACAACAACTTGGAGAAAGAGCCTGCCTTTTTGCCGATCGCTTCCAGGCGCGCGGCCCACTTCCAGCGAGCTGCGTTTTCCTGATCAAGCAACGGAGTGGCTGAGGCAGGACCCGTAGCAGTTTTCAAGAGCTTCTTGGGGGGATGAACAGGCCTCTCGGTCAGAGCTTTGATTGCCCCAACCCTTCTAGCCCGAGCGGTCTCAGCACTGATAGGTGGCATGGGAGCTTCACACAACCCAAAACCTAGCTGTGTGACCGTGGACTCCAAGAAAGGCTTTTCAACAGAAAAAGCTAAAGTCCAGAACTGCTCTAACATGAACGGTGACCGCAAAAGATCATCTCTGAACTCCGCATCCAGTTGTGGGGCCCACTCACTCACTTGCAGAGCAAACTCCTGCGCCGTTCGAACCTCCATGGCGAGCACGAAGGCCAAATTGGCAAATGGAGATCTCAGCACAGCCTTGGCAAACGCATCTGAAAAGATGGGGAGGGCCACTATTTTCGTGGCCCACCTGTCGGCCATTTGAGCCATGATAAACTGAAATAACACACGCTCTCAACTGTCGCACAAGTCTTCCCGACCACTCTTCCCGAGCAAATGAAAAAATTTTTATGAACATCACCCTAAAGGTATTAATGGAGTAAAAAGAACGGACCACTCAACAGATCAAACCGAATCTGAGGACTGAAACAAAAGGTTATCAGTCGCGCAGACTCACGTTCGATCTGAGCGCCCACAACTCTGAGCATCGCACCTGAGCCGTGGCATGAACAGCCGGGCAACAAACAGACGCAGAACAACCGAGGGGGGAAAGAAATATGGAGGTGTAAGAAAAACAAACAGACACCAATAAGACTCTCCACCCCTCCAGTCTGAACAGTTGCCACAGAACTCCTAACCAACTACGTCTTCCCGACTACTCTTCACGAGCACATATGATTGATCAAAACATGAAAGAAAATACAAAACATGAACAACCACCTAACCCCGGATCAAACCGAATCCGAGGACTGAAGCATCATGGAGCCGATCAGTCACACAGACTCACGTCCGATCTGGGGTCCCACAGCTCTGAGACTCCTGCCTGAGCCAGTGTTTGATCAACCAAGGCAAAGGGCAGTCCAGAAATGAGCAGGGGACACACAGTAAAATGGTTGTGAGCATGCGTAAACGATCAAGTGGCAGCAGAACGAACGGCCCTGCTGAACCCAACCAGATCACTCACATGCTTTTTCCATACGCAATGGCCGTCTTGCGGCAAAGTTGGCTCCTAAGCTATTCCCAGCTGGCAAATTTTAAATGAGCCAACTTCTCAACAATCTGTGACTTCCTCCACAGTGGGCTCAGGCCCAAACGAACGTGGCACCGAGCGCGTGGAGCCTTCTGGATCCAAAAACGCCATGCCTGATCTCACAGTCTGAACTTGTGAAACAAAAGCTTGAGGAGTGACTGCTGCCTCAGCCATGGACTCACTGAGCCTAGTCTCCAAAGAGCGTCTCTGCACATGGATCGTGTTGTCACCCACTGCCGACACCATAGGAGCTTGGCCTGCCTCCGTAACAGAGACACTTGTCACAGCAGGGAAGGCTGCACTAGCCGGTCCGACCAAAGCCTTCAAGTTCCCTGTGGCCGAGCTGGCCGGAATAGTAGAAGGACCACCTGTGATTGGCGGCACAACCAAAGCCACCTTCTCGAGCTTTGGGTCATGGAACTGTAGAGCAATGGCATCTTGGGGCACCACCACCTTCTGAGCTTTCAGCAACGGCGACTCACACGTCAGGTGGAAGTTGCTGGTGTGCGAGCTGACACTGATCGCTCCAATGCGGGGGCCCACATCCTCCACCGATTGAGCTTCTGTCGCAGCCGTCCAATGAGCATGGATGCCTGCAAGCTGAGACATCTGCATCGTCTGATCTGGCCCCTCAATTCTGGCAGCCCTTGAGCGACACCACTTGGCGTTCTCGATGAGCGTAGGTCCAGAAACTCGAGAAACCACCAACCAGGTTGAGGGTACTGTGATCTGGGAGCATGCCACATCGAGCTTGTCCCCCGCAGCTCTGAACCTGAACTCCAGTCGATCCGCATCCATACCCACTGAGTCAAGGGATGAGATCGCCGTCATGCGGATCTCAAAGTGACAGAGCGGGTAGTCCAGAGCCACCACAGTTCCTTTGTCTGAGCAAACATAAAGCCTGCCTCCAACCTCGAACGAGGCTGCCACTACACGCCAGCCAGAGAAGATCGTCACCACGCAGGCAGGCACAAAGAGCTCCTCTCTCAAGTTCATGACCAACGCATCGTTGATGTAGTTCAACTGAACAGTCATATCGTGGTCTGATCTGAACCCACGGAGCTCCAAGTGTAAGAGGAGCTGACCTTCAATCTTGAGCTTGACGTCCACCCAAGTGCAGGAGTCTTCCCGCATCATCGGCCACCTGAACGGCTGAAATGCAGCGTGGGTCATGACCTCTGCTGTCTCATCATCCCAAGCCGCACAGGGCACCGAGCCATACGAGGTCATTGATCCTGCCACAATCAGCTTGTACCCATCCAGAGCCCTCATGTAGAACAAGTTCATGTGGTAGCCCTGGTTGGGAGAGCGCACAAGCTGTCGATCACTCAAGATGTTGATCCCTGACTGAGCGTTCACTAAGATCTCGTCAAGGAGCCAGCCCTGAAATGGGCTCTGAATGCGCTGATCCCTGTTGTCAACTATCAGCACTGATCTCTCCTCGGGGCCAGACCCCAACTGCTGAACAAACGGCGGCAGTTGGAAGTTTTGAGGGTTCTGAGCACCTCCCAGGGCCATTGGGCCCCAACGGACTGAACGATGTCCTTTCTGCTTTGCCCGAGCCTTCTGCTTTGCCAACTTGTTGGACTGATCAGTCTTGCTGTCCAACACACGCTTGGCAGCTTGGGTCGCTGGAGCTGCACCATCAAGTTGAGCAAAGGACTGACTCTGAGCTGACGCAGGAAAGAACAAATTTGGATCAGCAGGCACCTCTTGACCTTGATCACTTTCTTCTTCTGGAGCCTCCTCAATGCCTTCAGTGGGTGGAGCTGGAGGCTTGGCCTTTGGCACAGGAGCTGGACCAACCTCACTCCAAGAACTCACTGAACCACTGGTGCTTGCAGCATCATCTGGCTGAGCATGCAATGCACGAGCAGAAGCCATGGCATGCTGGCGAGCTAACGGCGATGGCCAGGCTGGAGGAAAATTAGACATGACACAGTGATCACCCAGGCCCAACAAAATGATCACAACGAAAAGTCAGGCCAAAGGTGATCACCACAAAATGATCTTGCGCCAAAATGGCACGAGGGTCAACGTCCTGAGCAGCAGGTGAAATGACCCCTCATGAAAGGCAAGATCAAACATGTATGAAATAAATTATATATCCCAGAGCAACCTATAAATCAGAGATCAGACATATAGGAACAGGGAAATATAAGATCATACATGTAGTAGTGAACACCAAACACAAAAGTAGAAACAGTGAACACAATCTCATATGAGTCCCTCGCTTGCTCCAGACCTACCTAACCGATAGCATGCAAACTATATAGATGGGATTGGCACTTCTGTTGGCAGCCGGCCAGGTCGATTCTGTGCGAGGGATCGCTTAACCATCAAACACCATCTGGCAAAAGAAAGATAAGCAACATAACCGGACAAGACTCTCTACAGTCCGCAACCTGGTTCATATACACGAATCAAGGGTAGCAGCGGGTAGCAAAAGTCTGTCTTGGACCCTCAAGTGCCTCCACAGCAATTTGGTGGTGCCACACAGTCAGGACCCAAGTCGGCCTATTGGAACACTCTCCTTACCGAGAGTGACCGCTTGACCAAAACATACCAAGCTTATGGAAGGCGTGGATCTGCTTCGTAGCTTCCAACTTCAGCTCCGAGGCTGCGGCCGAAGCGTCCATACGTCGTCTTCAGGCTCTCGGGGTCGACACGCAGGAAGTGCCTCACGGCACCCACGTTGCCCTCCTCGGCCGCCTCATGGATATCCTTGCCTCGGGACACGAGCCCAACCCCTTGGGAGCTGCTGGAAGGTGGCTCGGCTCGTTAACAGGGATACCCAGATAGCTACTCCATCCAGGACGGGAAAGCCTGAAATAAAGAAACCATCATGAAACCTCCAGCACTGCATGGATTTTGTTCTTTTTCCAGCCTGGGGATGAGGATGGCAAAGCAGATTTCGAAGCGCAAGATTTCCAATGCATAGAACCCTCGAACAATTTAACTCGACAGAAAGCTACCTGTAGCCCGCTGAGCGAATTCAACAATCTGAGGTCTTGACAGTCTTTCGCTGCAGCTTCGTCTGCCTTGACGGACAAGAATGCCAACTGTTTCGCAGAGAATAGGTTTGCAAAGTTCTAAGATACCATGTCCAGAGTTGTTTGAACTGAGCATAGCCCCAAACTCAAATTTCAAACAGACCGGCTAGCTGAACGGATCAGTTGGACCATGGCAGGTTTACCAACAACGAGGACACTTGTTGACACCAGCAGAATCTGCAAGTCAAGCTGGCACCACATTTTCGCCCCAAGAAACTGATGAAAATTTTCAACCCAATCTGCCCCAATCTCCACACCCGAAACAATTGCGACCTTAGGGTCTGCTGCGGCATTGTAAAGGCTTCTGTACCCAGTAGGTGATACAACGCATGATGCTCTATCATGGTTTTCATGTTTTTTTCGCGTGGTAGTGGATCTAAGAAGTGTTTGTTTCTGTCAAAAGATCTGGATAAGATTGAAGAAGCATTTGCCTTAAATATGGTTAGGATAGCAAAAGATTGTTGAAATTGAAAAATCGAAATACTCCATGAGGGTTGAAAGATTTTGTTACTGTTACGCTTTGTGCCTGAAATTTCCCTTCCAGTCTGTCCCAATCTCCACACCCCAAACAATTGGCACCTTAGCGTCTATTGCTACGGCGGCTGCGGCCTTGTAAAGGCGGGTGATGAAACCCTGAAAACCGGAAAAAAACACCGGGTTGGTCGGTTTCTTAAGCTTTGCTGCGGGTCGTTACGATTTCTTACGCTTCGCACCGTCCCGATCTCCGAGCTGCCACACGTCAGGCTGCCGAACTGCCGAGCGGCCACAGCCCATGCTCCTTGGAGGTCAATTACTAGTGGCAGTCTCAACTAAGGATATCAACTATCAATGGTAATTGGAATCAACATGAACCATAATAATATTGAAATAGTGCACTAGTTGCAATGATGAACATTTACATACGAGTATACATCCAATAAATTGAGCCAAGATTTGACTTTGATCACGAGATCATACGAGTATGTATCCAATAACTTGAGCCAAGATTTGACTTGGATCACCTCAGACTTTCAGGGTCCAGCTCTAGCCTTTTCGTTTTTCCGTTGAATTTCAAAAAAAACTGAACCCAAATGGGACTCTCTATAGATTGACTTGTAGACACGCATATTCCATCGGGACATTCGGGTGATCAAACAGCGAACAACTGCCTTCGACGGTCAAGAGGGGGGGTTATCGAATGGGCTGATGGCAACATGACCTGAACCACAACGCTCCGCGGAGCTTCACCAGTCGTCTCGCCCAAATTCCAGTCCTTTAAGGAGATCAGCACGGCCTCACGGCCTCGGCTCAGCCGAAGCAGGAACGTGGCCAACATCAGTTTTTCAACTGAACCGTTACGCAAGCGTTGTTTGAGACATCCGTGATTGTGGTTGGTTATAATTTACCTATTTGATCAAAGATGATGTCCTTTGATTTCCCATGAAATGCCAATGAAAACTATGAAAACTCAGTTTTATGCATTTTATGCATCTTGTCTCTTCCATGAACCCCACAAACATTGCTTAAGAAATTGAAACAGCTACCAGCTACCAACTACAATCTCACACCTACTCGTTTCAAACAAAATACCATAGGAATTCTCCATGAAATCGACATCTTTTTCAACAAAAAATGTTAACCCTGCATGCACGGGAGAAAAAATCTGAGCACATGCGACAGCTGAGGCTGATGCGCCAGGTGGACTTTTGCCACCCACGGGCAAAATGGGCTGCCCGAGATCAACAGAGTCCTGCTTTAGGTCGTACGGTGATGGGCATCAAAATCATCAAAATAGGTGGCAAACGGTTGGTAAATGGTTGGTCATCCTTCGAATTGGCTATCTATCATGGGTTCTAACTTATCGCATGAAGCCCATGCCCTAAATGTGTGACTGGTGAAAACCTTCTTCGCCGGGGTGCTTCGTAGAGATAGCTGCAGAATATCTTGGGGGACGTGGTTTCCCCGGTTTCCCCCCTTACCTCTGCCGAAATTTTCGGCGCTGAGTCTCTGAAATCCGTCACGTTACGTTGGTTGGTTAACCCCCTATTTGATCGACAAGGGATGCCCATCACATGGATGTTCTTCTCGCCACCCGCGGAAGAGTGTTTTGGCGGTGAAGCGTGACTTCAAAGGATAGCTCAAGTCTGAAAGCTTTGGATAAACCACAGACCCTATGAGGACTTTGTTTACTCACCGATTACATTCAACTGTTTGAGAACTAAGCGGAACTCAGGAAATCTCATTTGATTAAGAAAACCATCCCAAAAACAGCACAAATGTGGGACAACCAGTTCACCTGCTGACCTTCCTGGTTCAGAAGCTCGGGAAAAACAGCGCTGGAATGTAACTGTGGAAATCTAGGGAACTGATCGAAGATGGCCATGTGAACCCATTTCAGGCCCTTCGGAAGCATACTCCGTGAAGACTATACGGCGGTTTTGGACCTTTGTGAAACGAACTCAATCTTGTGAATATCGACTTTTTCATAATCTTTGCTTTCAGGATTTGGACAAATTATACAATAAATGGTTGAAACCACATAAACCACAGTTTAATGACGTTACTTGTTTCTTTCAATGTCATTCCAGCTACAGCTTTCTCGTATCAACCTCGACCCAGTCCTGTCCTGGAGATCCAAGGGGCCCCAAGGCTCGGCCTTTGGGGACACCATCTTTGGTTCAAACGGGAAGAAAAATCTCCAGAAATGTGGTTTTTCCAGAGACTTCACCGGAGAAATGTTTGATTTTCAAAGATGTTTATGTTTTTTGCAACGTTTTGCTTCAAAACCGATGGCTGGGATTCCCAAAAAAGAACGGAAGAAGCGAAGGTTCCATGATTTTCTTCGAAAAACATCCGGCAGCTGAGGCTCAAGCGCTCAAGGACGGCTTGAATGCCAATCGGTGAACGGAGTGGCGCTACGGAAAAAACGTTGCAACGAGTCGCATTGGGATGATCCAACTGAACCCAATCTGGAGCAGCCCCATTGAGACCTTGAATTCTTTCCTTCAGTGCACAGTGACGAATGAAATGTTGCTACACGCAGAAATGCATTGTGTCCTGATGACCCATCCTGTGTGGAATTTTGCTACTTGACATTTGCCTTCCACTGAGCTGCAAACTGCGCTATGCAAGGAAGGGAATGAGCACAGGAGATTTGACAAATGTCTGTACAAGTCCCAAATGAGCAAAGGTTGAGTCCCTATCAATGTTGAACCCTAATCGACAAGCTGTGAGGGCCGAGTACAACGTTGACTTCGGAGCGAACAAATGTGGCACAAGGTGGGATCGCCAGCCACTGGGACCGGTGGTCTTTTGGGCCTTTTACATCACGGGCCTCCGGCTCCCTAACATGTGGCAAAATTCCGGTCAACACTGGAAACCTATCCGTTTCAACTATATTTATCAATATAAATCCTTGTGACAGCGTCTGTACCCGATGCTCTGCTTTTTGCATCTTTTTGCGACTTGAGTGGCAGAGAAAGAATAAGCATAAGCTGAGGAGGCTCCAGGAACATTCTCCGGCGATCTGCTTTGATTTTTCAAACATAATTCTATATATATATATACACAATCAATCTATTTGAAGAAAATTTAAAAGTTTAGCTGGGGAAGAGTCTCATGTGCGCCACTGATTCAGCGATCTGATCAGCAACGTGTTGGGCCTTATTCATCTGCCGATCATCTATGTACACCAGGCCGTTTTTGAACACCAATTGATTCTGATAGATGCCTCGTTCGTTGTCCTGTGGCGCTGGTGGCCACTGTTCGCAGAGCCTAATCGGAAACAAGGGCAACCGGTGGTCATGAGCGTATTCAAGCTCATGGAAAGTTTCATAGCCCATACCAGTGTATGCCCCATATTCCGACGTGCAAAATGTTACGATGCCTTTGGCACGGCCCAGTCCTATCCGTGTCACGTCAGCAAAACTTTGGCCGACGGTTGCTTCAACCATGAAAACCGGTACATTTCGAGCTTCCAGCTGCTTCTTCACTGCCTTCATATACTCATTAATCCTCAGTCATCAACCCCACGAAGCGTTAGACTGCTTGACTATAGCACCTGTTCACAGCACATTCCATCCCCAAAACCACACATTGAATCACATCAAAATTGTGTTTTTGAGGCAAGCATCTCATCCTTGTTGCGGCGCCCGCTCAACAACAAGTGTCCTTGCTGTGACGCCGCCGCCTAAGAACTGGCAGTGCAGCTTCCAAAGCGTCAGCCATAAGCACTGAGGTTACGAATGGTGGGTAAAGACATGTCCACAAGTACCCAAAATCCTGAATTAATGGAGTGATCCTAAACAAGATTGCAGTCCCTGTTTGAATACGGACATTGTTTTCGTTGTACAATGTGGTTATGGGTCAATTCACCCTGGCATCTTGCTGTTCGCACCAAACTAGCTGATGTTGATTGACTTTCATCCCCCAAACATGGTATGACGGTGTGACAATTAGTTTTGCTCCATCCCCAAGATCCTGAGTTCTCCCCACCGATCGCATATCACCAGTCGAGGCAGCTGACGATGCCTGGCAGCACAGCACACGGGCCGCGCACATGAACCAACTTTTATTTGGTGTCTAAATTAGGGGGAACAGGGGAACAGGGGAACTGGGGAATAGGGGGGAACAGGTGAAGAGGGGCACTAGCGTCTAGATTAGATCAGCTAGAGCGTCTTCCCAAGACAGTTTCACGCCTCTTATATTCGGCCAATAGCCAGTCGGTGCGGTGTCCACAGGATTACTCTATATCTCTCTTGAGCCTTGACAGCGTATGTAAATGTGCTCAATACTCATGCTGTATCCACATAGGATCCAAGCACAAACAAAGACACGGGCACAAATTCAAAGGCAGTGAGTAGAGCACTACGCTTTGTCGTACCCAATTGAGAATAAGAGTTACGGTCTGCAACTATACTACACGTTGGCTAATCAGTAAAAATGAGCGGAAGTCACGCAGTGGTTTTTTTTACAAAAACCGCGGATGTAGTCGGATTGAAAGCGACAAAATTGTCCTAAGGACATGTCGAAGTGAAAGCAGCGGATTCGCTAATTATTTTTCCGCAAATGGTGCGCGAAGCACGGTCGTTCCAAGCCGGTGTGAAAAATTCGTCCTCCAAACGTTCGAATTGCAAGATTCAGAAATTGAGGTCAGATGGAAAACAATTAACCGAATCACAAAATAGACGGATACAGCGGATCTCCAAAGCCGCTCATTCAAGCGGACGATGGACAAAATTCGGAGCTGGTAAATTTTGATTCGTTCCATTCGGAACTACTCTGCTCGGCGGAAAGTGCGTGGAGACAAATGCGATATTATCTCTATCTACAGGAGTATATATCTACATTAAATTGAAGTTCGGACAGAGTAGAGGCATTATCTCTAACTAAAAGGAGTATATGCCATCTTGTGTAAAAATGGATACTTAGTTGTGGTATTATCTCTCGCTATCGAGAGTGTATACCTTTTCTTGTGAAAAAGAAATGAGCTCACAGAAAAACTGTACTGAGCAAATCATGCTGTGTTATCTTCATCTATAGAAGTATACACTCACCTGTTTTTCGGTCTCCATGTCCACGAGGACCTCACGAGGATGAAGCTGAGGAACCACCATAGCCAGTATCATACCAGTTGCTTCCAGACTCGTCCACTGAAGGACCATCGCCATGACCCTTTCTCTTGTTGGACTTTTGCGTAGCCTTTCTCTTTTCCTTTCTTCTCTGTTTCATCTCATAAGGAACATAGGCACGCCTTTCCCTCCATATCATATCGGAAGGATGCAAGTGAACAAGAATGGGGTTGTGCGCATCTCTGTCTGTAGGTGCAACCATGAAGATGCTGTGATCACTGGTTAAGCAAGTTTCATTGGCCCTGAAGGTAAACTCACGAGTAAATCCATGTGATGTTGATCATCAAATTTACTGATATCTTCCTCATACTCCAGTCGTGCATGTCCCCACTCAACAATCGATAGCATACAACAATCACCACGATCTTCTGTCTTCTTTGCGAGTTCTGCGGTGTATGTAGCTGTTGCAATACCATCCAGATGTGTTGCAAGAAAATCAAGATCTCGGAAATAAAATGCTTGACCCTAACAGGTGGATAATCTCCAAAGTGTTTTCGTCTTGATTGTGTTGCCACATTCATCATCTTGTTGATCCAGTACTGCAAAAGGCTGCATTCGCACGTGGGGACTCCTCCAGATTTCGGAGTTGCAAGGTAGCATGCCTTGTTCCCGTCGCCTGCGATCGCGTCAACTTGATAACGGGCACACTCAAAGGCCATGCACGCAATGATCTCCCCTGTGATGCCTGGAGAATCTGAGACATGCTGCAGGCGCGGCACATACTCACATCTACCGGCATTTGGCGTGGCAGGCGCGGCACACACTCACATCTACCGTCGTTTTGCGTGGCAGGCGTGGTACAGATGGCACTGGGTGGCGCGCTTGGTCTTGGTTCGCCATCACGTGCCGATCTTAGAGTACTAGCTGTAGCTCTCCTCCGCTGTCCAGGCATATTCCATCCTGACATAGTCGTTGTCGACATTGTTGATTTCGACCCACTTTCTGCAGTACCAGGTGAAGTCTGCGAAGCTTCTTCGGCTGGCGCTACAGGATTGTCGTTGAAGGTAAACCGAGTGTCACCACTGCTGCCTTGCATCTTTGGGATGTAGAGCTGATCGGTTCTTTGCGTCCACGATCGTTTGCTCCAGGCGTCGGCTAACAGCACGTGAGCACCCTTCCATCGTTGAGGGTAAGAGCACTACGGCTGATAACCTGTGAACAATTCTACCCTTGTTCCGGGTTACAATGCGGTCAGGTGCTCAAGTGTCAACGTTGTTAGCCTCAAGCCGACGACATGCGGTGGCAAGCGCTCGCTGTTTTACCTTGCAATGATTGGATCTTGAGCCAAACAAGTTGGCATAAGTCGCAATACAGTTGACATGCATGAATATGTACATGACACTGTAAGCTACCGTGCAGTTCCCTTTGACAGGATATGGCTGCAGTTACGATAGTTAGGACAGATGTTATATGGCTGGAATTAGGACAGATGCGCAGCAGTGGCAATGGCGGCGGGTCCAGAAGAAACACTTGTTTCAGGCTACTGGTCGACAGTTGCACAAAGAAGCCTTTGGATTAAAACGTTCCGGAAAAAAAACACATTGATAAACAAAGCACGCATATATCAAAACAAAATGGCCCAAAACCCTGGTTTTTGACACTTGGAGAAAGGAATTTGATCAAATTCCTTGCAGATATGAAGTTGCAATTCGCATGGCCCTGCCAATACAAAATACACATTCGACTGTAAATTAAGGTCCGAATAACCCCCCGGACGGATACTTGTCATAGTGGATTGTTATAGATGTGATTTTCTTGAACTGTAAATTTGATGATGTGCCTTGTAGTTTCTCAATCTGTAAGAGTATTTGTTTTACGCTGTCCTCAAGCGCTTGTGTTAAATCATCCTCCTTATGGACATTAAATCTTGTTGAAGGCAACTTGTATAAGACTGTCCTTTCTTCGGGTTCTTCATCCTCGTCATTAGTTTCAGGTTTATTGAATAAACCTTCAGCCCTGATGTTTAATTTCATATTTCTATTATTTCTTAAGAATTCTAGTAATCTATATTTTTGATGAACTATCATTGATAGGCCTTGTTCTCCTTGAAAATGCCTATTTACAAGTGTAAGATTATTAGCATACCTTTTGAATGCTGATACTCCTTCTTGAACTCTAAATTTGTTTTTAATAACATATCCTATGTCATTGCTTTCTTTAAATTCAGGTTCATTGTTCTAACTGAATGGCTTTTATATTCATTAGTTTCTGAAACTGATTTTAGTTTTTTCAAAGTGTTTGATAATGGCTTAGCCTTGTTGTATCTAAATTTCTTACCATCTATGATAATTGATTTGTTCTTTCTCTTTTAGGTATTTCGGCTTTATCGTGTATAAGTAAATAGTCTATAACATGTGTATTCATATTCATCATATGTATTCATATTCATCATATCAATACCTATATATGTTAATATTAATATATGTTTAAGTGTTATTCACTGAATAAGACTTAAAGACTTCATATATTTTATAAGTAGGAAATTATGATGCTATTTCATTATGGTTATTGTTCCAAATGTGATTGTATGAAAAATGATGTGAGAGTATCATTAAGTCATTTACTTGCCCCACAGTTATGCGAACAAATAAGCGACTACAATGTTTATTGTAATGGATGTAGTAAGGTAAGAGAGAAAGAAGCCAGTATGATTGACAAAGGAAAATTCCTAAAGATGTGCATTATTGAAATACAACTTGATTACTTCAGGCTCAACAAACCAAGGCTATTCTTTGCCGACAGCCCCAAGACAGTAAAAGGTGCGAGAAATAAAAAAACTGATAGATTCTTCTGAAGGTGAATACAAACAAATCAACAAAGTTTTAAAAAAGTTTTTCAAAGACAATTATTTCTTATTATCAGTGTATATCATACCAGATGTCTATGATAGAGACAAACTATGTGATAGAACAATGGAGCTACAAATGGAAGAAGAAGGATACTTTAGTTACAACAAACGAGTATATCGCGCAAGACCTTTAATATTAAATGTGCTTATTAAATTTGCTGTGGATGTATGTTGTTAATATGATTGGTGATGACAGCCACTTGGTCGATATGGGAAGCATAAAGGGATATTTGAATGAATTTGTTTGGAACGGTTATAACGATTAAAAAACAAAAATCTTAATAGTATCAATTATTAGATATATGGTTTTCTTCTCAACTAGTTTTATGTATTAGCTTTACCAAAGCTGGGATGTGGCTTTACGGATAAATTCTAGGAAGAATTTATCCTAAAGTCCATCTCATAGGTATTAGCGATACCATGGGCATATGAACAAGGGTGAGTGTATGATTTGTTGCTAGAGTTTATGGTACTGTATTGTCTTTTTAATAGACTATTGTATTGCTTATGTTTGTTGAGTTTTTTTTGTTATATGGTTATTCGTTATAATTTAGGTATAAACTGGATGGGGTGGGGATGTGGTAGGTAGTGATGATTTTATGATAATGGATGAGGTGATGATATGATAGACTTTGCTGATTTATGATGAAATGGATGATGTGAGAATGTGGTAGGTCGTGATGATTTTGATATGGTTGATGGTAAAATGAAACAATCAACCAAATTAAAAATGATTATGATACTGTTATAATACTGATATATAATATATGATACATCTTAGAACATACATTTTAACCAATTTTTGGGGGGCAGGACGGACATTTAATGCAAGGAACCTAGCGGAGATGGTGGGAACCTCCTGCTTTTTGAACTTGAAACCAGCTGATTTTTTGAAAACACATTTTTTCTAACCCAAAACCACTGATGAACATTTTTTATTTCCATGCAGGTATGGCCTCTGGGAGAAAGAGGTCTCAATTTGTGACACTGGGCCCTGCTCAGCAGGAGAAAGGGCCAAACATCCATGATACTTTTGATTTTTTTGGAGCGGAGAAGGTGGGAACCTCCTGCTGGATAATTTGGACGAGAGAAGGCCAATAAAGGTCACCAATCTGAAACCTAAAAGGCAAGAGCGATTCATCAAGAAAAGTCATGGTGGCTCGGGTACGCGATGGGTGCGGACGTCGTCGCTTTGCCGCCGAATCCGGCTCAATTTGCGCGCGCAGTGTAACTGAGGGTTCCAAGATGTTCCAAGTGACTTTTTCTCTTCTTTGTTGATGGTGTGGTATTGTGCTTTGCAAGTCAGTCTGCGCAGATCGCAGTGGAATGGCTGCCCTGCACAGCACCTTGCCAAGACTCGCCACCGCACCCGCCTGCACCCTGGACAGCACCCTGCAGCGCCCTTGCCAACATTCGCCACCGCACCCTGGACAACACGCTGGACACCACCTTCGACAGCACCCTGCACACCATTCTTGACAGCACAGTGCAAAGCACCTTGGACAGCTCATCCTAATCAATTTTGAGACCATGTCTTGTTACGCATTTTTGCATTTCACGGATTCAGAAATCAGACCTCACCCCTACATCCTGACAATTTCCAAAGAAAAGCTCCCAACAAAAAATCAATGAAGGCAAACAAACGCATACAGTTGTCACGAAGAACCGGTTTGCTGTGCTCCAAGCCTTGCGAGGGTCAAACTGCAGCTGGTGGATCAGCTTGATGTCATTATGTTCCGTGTCCCATACAGAGGAGTCCTTCACTGCAGGTGCGGGGCCCCCGGCCTCAGGGGAGGAACCGTTTAACCCGTTCAAATTGAAGTATCTAACCCACAAGGCAATCAAAAAACAAAGGCACAACAGGCGGTCAATCAGGAGTCCTGCACTTTCAACTCATCGTGTGTTGAGGGCTCACTTTGACCTCTCATCAGCGGAGGCCGCAACTCTGACCGGTGTGCATCCCCTGATGGCACTGCTTGGGAGATGCTCTGAGCAGCAGCTTGGGTGTCGGTCTCTGCCATAGCTGAAAACTCATCAAAAATATCCTCCTTAAACTTCACCAATCCTAAGAATTCAAACCAACCACCTTGAAGACGCTGGTTCACCACAATGGCTTGAAGCTGCGCTCGGGTGATGGCTTGGTAGATTGAAGCGCGAGTTTTGCAATTGGCCTTCTGGCTTCCCAGTTTTTCATCCAAACCAATGCAAACGATTATCAATTGCTCCAAGCCCTTGCAATTCTCCACTGTGTCCATGATGATCACCTCAGCCATGGTTCGTTTCTCCTCGCGGTTGGGAAGTACGGACAGGGCCTCCTGAAATGATGTAAGCGCAAAGTTTCGCCCTGCGAAGCAATGAGCCAAATGGTCTTGCATTCTTTGCTTGAAATTCTGGAGGAAATATTTTGGCACAAGAAGAGCTATGCGTCGGTGAAAGCTGAGGCCTGCATAGGTCCCCATCAAATCCCAAAGTGCAGCGACTGTCTTCTCTGCATACTTCTCATAATCCACAGTGTCACGATCTGACTCAAACAAAAAAGACTTCAGAGGAGGCCCAGCTGGGCACAGTGAAGCGACACCCTCCTTCTCATCAGGGCTCCCTTGAAACGCAGCTGATGCTGCAACGATCCGTTGGCTGCTTCTCACGATTTCAGTGAGGTTCAGCGCCGTGACACCTGTAAAAGTACACTCATCTCCTGATGCTTGGGACTTACTGGAGAGCAACAAACATTGCTCCGCCTCAACCTTGTAATCAAAAAAGCTATGATACTCAGTGGACCGGAATACATCATGCGACTCATCGACGATCGCCAAAATAAATTGCATCCTGCTTTCAGATAAACACCTCGGTTTTAAGCGGCCGCCTTCATCGTGGAGACTCAGAAATGATTCGTACGGCGATATCATCAGCACGATGCGGCTCAGCACATTGTCAAGGGACAAGTCTTTCGCGCATCTTTGAGCGAGCCATTGGAAGAAATAGAGCCCGAGGCTGATCGATGGAGCCACGAACAAGACCAGTCCCTCAGAGCTCTTTGTAATTTTATTGCATGCGCACTGTACCGCAACAAACGTCTTGCCAGCTCCAGCGGGTGCCGACATTTATTATGGGTTGAACGACTGGATGCCTCAAATACCCGAAGGTACCGGACACCGCAGCCCGGGACATGATCAATTCATGTTTTCACGCACAGTGGCCCTGACCCGGGCCATGTGGTGAAGAACAGCTCTATCATAGGCATCACACCCACGTGTGGGCCAAGCAAGACGATTTTGCGATTCATCTTCAGGGACCTCAGGGCGGCCGGAAGACAACTGTTCGGCGGAGCAATGCCAGGAGAGATGTTCCCAGACAGGTGGGATTTGCTCACCGCAAAAGGGACATTGTTCCCTCACTTCGTGTCCACGCATCTTATCATAACATGCCGTGGAATGCGCAGAACCAAGCATTACGGCCCTCTGATGACTATCACACGTGAGAGAGAACAACTTGCGGGCATCGGAAACACGACTTTCCTCATACGGCACATCAAGCAAATAATGCCTATCACGGCGGTTCTGCTTTTTCCAAAGGGCAAATTGCACTCGGCGCCAACTTTCTCTCACCTTGTGCTCGGTGAGTTTCACAACAGCTTCATCTGGATTGGATAAATCGACATGACCCAAATCCTCATGTGCAAACATCCATGGACCGCGAAATTCCCAGTTCAGCTCTCGCATGCGTGCGCAAATGAAACTCTGCCAGCCTCCAGGTCGTGGCATCCTTCGCCAAGGGGCACGAACTTGGCGCATGGTCCGAATGGAAGACATGGTGGCCCAAAACTCAGCATGATACATATGACCTACAAGCAGGTTGAAAAGAGGTCTCGAAGCGTTACCTTGCAGATAGGAAATGGCATGCCATGCCTTTCGAAGCGAAGGCAACTGTGACTGCGGCAATCGTTCAAACCAAGCGCCCCAGGTGGCGAGTGAAATGATTCTGGACCTGTACAAAGACATCCTGATATCGCGGGCAACCGGCAATTTCTGCAAACGGTGAGCGGCAAACACTGCTTCTTGCAAACGGTTTTCAAGAGCAGGGGAAACAATAAGGTCACTTTCCTTAAAGTCACTACCTAAGACCCGAGTGGCCGGTCGGAGATACTCACCAAACCCTGCGTCATTGATCTCTTGCTTTTGTTGCGCAGTGCAGGCAACTAAACGCATTTTTTGAACGTTTTCATGGAGACCCAAAGTGGCACTCCAGCTGCGCCATCTATGGATGCCAGCAATTAAACGTGGAACATTAGGCGCGCTCAAAGCGCGATCATCAACGTATGCAACCTGACGCAAGTCTGGAATGGAAGACACATCATGAAGGGGCCCAATGAGCAACATGATAAGAGCCAGAGGTGCAAAGGCATCACCTTGCGGCATGGAGGTCTGGACATGCTCCGGCGTTGGGTGCACAGCTTTCCCCAAGCACAGCCATCGCACTTGATGACCCCATACAAACATCAAAATGTTAGCCCACTCATCTGGCAACCCTTGCAGTTGCATGTTTTCAATGGCCAAACCTGGGTGGACAAAATCAAAACATTTGGAGAAATCTAAAGAAGCAAGAACTTCCTGGTTTTCAAACGCTTCATTGAGTTGCCTCCATGCCGTGGCAACCCCCCGGGATTTCAAGCCTCCATGGCACTGCTCGGGGACCCGAGACGCAATCCATTCCTGAACCTGTGGGGTCCTCACATAAGATGAGGAGACCAACCGAAGAAAAATGCTTTCAACTGCAATAGGCCGCAAAGACCCTACAGTCCCACCGTCATCCTTTCTTAAATGAACCTGACGAACCTGCAGCCATGCCTGTGGGAATTGTTTTAACTGAGACCAATGCAAAACCAAATCACGGTAGTGATCCCAAGCAACAAGCGGGAAATGGCAAACTTCGCTGCCGGACCAACCGTCACATCCGGCTGCAGACCCCGAGGCTCTGAGAGCGGCCTGATGGATGAGGGCAGCATCTGGCATCCAATCAGTTTGGGGTCCAGCCAGGGCTTCCATTGTTCCGGGTGCCGACAAATGCACAGCACCATTGCAAAGCGAATCCTCGATGTTCCCGAGCTTTTCTTTTTGGTGTTGGGTCAATTCTGAAAAGGACAACAGTTCCTTCTCAAAGACCTTGCAGAAGTAAGTCTTGTCCAGCCGAACTTGCCACATTGACTTTGAATGCATTTCCAGTTTTTTGTTGACAACAATTTCCAAGTCGGTGCTCAAGACTGTGTTCCTCACAACTTGGAGTGCTTCGATGGATTTGATGTCAAGTCTCATTGCCAACGAAGGCGTACCGTTTGGGAAGATGAACTCCAGAGGTTTCGAGACTTGGGGTCCTGCGGGTAATGCGCTCTTCACAAAACCCAGAAACTCCTCTTGCCCAACATCTGCAAGCATCTGTCTCATCGAAGCAGCATGCCGCACACAGTCGGTGGCAAAGATTTCTCCAGCCTGGGATTGAACCACCCACTTTGCATGCTTAGGATCTTTCGGGACCGTCTTTGGCACTCCAAGCAAAGTGCCTTTCCACCACTGTTGCTCGTCAAAGGCGTCGACTGTCCCTCCAACTTTGAATTCATCCTTCAGGAAATGCGTCACATCCACGCAGTCGTAGGCCCAGTCATCCCCTTTTTCCTTCCACATTTTCTCCAAATAAGCAATTTCGCACTTTTGGCTGCCTCCACAGCCTTTGTCGTTCCAAAGGTTTACGTTTTTACTGCTCAAATCTTCCCAGGGGATTTTGCCCTGTCCCACCTCACCAGGAAAGAATACTGCCTTGAGCCTCTGTTTCAACTTGACGGCCTCCTCCACCTTCCCTTTCCACTCCTGGAACCACTGACATCCCCACGAGGCAACTTTACCATTCTCCTCCCAAGCTTCTTTGGCGTCCTTTTCAGCCTGCTCTTTGGCCTCCTTGCTTGCGTCTGCACGGATCACCACCGCTTTTGTGTGTTTTGCCTTTTCTCTTTCCTTTGTGACCTCATCATCGGTTAATGTGCCTGGAACAACCTTCAAGTAACCGAATTCTTTATAGCTGCGTGTTCCATAAATTGTATGGCACAGGCAGGGGCCAGAGGCTTCTTCATGGTGATGTCGACCAAGGCCATCCTCAGGAGTGCACAAAAAGACGCAAGCCACGCTGTAGTTGTGCCTCTCTTTTGTCAAAGCATCCCACCCAGATGCATATTTGCCTGGAAATGACACATAGCACTCTTCACTTCCCTCCCTGATGTGGCCGCCATAGCTTACATCACCCATGTTCTCCAGGATGGCTGGCGTGTTTCGGAGGGTAAAGTAGAGGTGGCACGAATCCTGTCTGGAATCAAGGCGACACACCACTGCGGGGCCCATTCAACCTTGATTCTGTGGGCATGTTGACTATAAATAGTTTTAGGTGTTCCAGGTGTTCCACCAATTTCGTGTACGCTCTCAAATCCTGACAAGGAAGATCATCGATGCCCAAATGATCACTTCCAAATTCATCACATTTCTGGGATCCCATTTTCTGCTTCCAGGCTCAAGTCAAAGGATGTGAATTCTGGAAATTTTCACGTTGCAAATTCTCCCAAAGGTTGGACTGTGATTTGTCCGAGCTGAAAATTGGCCTCGTGGCTCTTCGGTGCCTTCGATGTTCCTCTTGCTGACCTCTGCCACTGTGTCCCCAAAGCAGGCGGCACGAAACCCTATAAGTAAATGAATAAATAAATAAATAATTAATTAATAAATAAATATATATATATATACTGCATATATATATATATATATATATTATGTACTGGACAATTGAATGATGTTGCCTTCATGTGCTTAAGTAAACCTTCAACGCCGCTTGACAAGAAACACCTTCTGCACTTACCGATTTACTTCTGCTAACTCTTCCGTTCTATATAGTTTTGTTGTAGCTGCATGACCAGTATATACGATTAGTTGCATATGCATCTTCATGCCAGATTTTCTTCTTGTAGCTTAAGTTCAGCTCCGGTAAAACGATGTTTTGACATTGGCCCTTGCGACAGTGCCAACAGGTGTATTTTGCATCAAGATGCCCATGTGCTTGGTCCATATCATTCTCTTCCTGCAGGCGTCATTCTCATTGACTGCAGTGTTACCTTTTGTGTACACGAGTCAAGAATCAACATGAAGGCCGAACCCTCCATGGAACCCTCCCAATCTAGTGAACTTGTATTTGCAACAAAACATTGTTGCAAAAACAAACAACATCATGGCAAAAAAATCAAGAGCAGTTCTTGTTGAGACTTTCTTGGCACAAGACTGGACTCTCTTTCATGTATTCCCTACCAAATAGCCAAACGCTTCCTAGTTATTTCCAGTGATTTCCGAGTGATTGGTAATGGTTTGCTGTGATTTGGCTAGTGATTTTGGACGTGATTGTGGGAACCGCTGCAAAGCACCCCAAGACACTACAAAAGCCACCAAAACTGGAGGAATCAGTGCTTGACGATTTGCTAGCGATTCGGCGAGTGATTTTGAGAGTAATTGTAGGAAAACACTATGAAGCATCCCCAAATCACTCGAAATTCACTCAAACTCGATGAATTAGCTGGAGTGGAACCTGCTCCAATGCGAATCACAACGGCACAGCTTCTGAGCCGTCCTCGCTTCCCTTGAATTCCAATGCTTTCACCAAGAGCTGCCTGTGATATTCCGAAAAGTCCTGCAGAGGCACAACTCATCAGGCCAGACATTGGCGATTTCAATGCAGATCAGTTGTCCCAATCACTGAGTGGAACACTTTTGATTTGCTTGGAAAAACAGTTGGAACAAAAACCGCCCCAGACTGTCGCGTTGTCCTGTTCCTTCACCTCTTCAGAAAGGTCCTCATGATGCTGATGGCCCGCAATTTCTCCAACAGAACTGTATCTCAAGCCGATTGATTTAACTTCAGCCCATGTCATCTTGCAGCTTCAGGAACACACAATTTGATTTTGTTTAGCATCGTCCGTCCCCTACTCAGATGTGAAATCAACCTTTGTAACAAATGTGTGAGTTCGTGGTTATTAAGTCAATGAGACACACACGCTGTGGGCATCAAAACACAAACAAGTTACCACGAAAAATATTCAAGTCATCCGAAGAGTAAAGCGGGTGACAACCAACTAGCCCCAAACTGTCTCTCCACTGGCTCCGGTCCTGCACAATGTCGACCAGCTCTGAACGGCTTGCATTTTGAACACGACGAGATATTCCCTCGCGTGATGCACTGCTGCCCATTGCTGCAAAGTAGACCTGGTCCTGGAAGCGTGCTCGGTGAACATCACATACCGCTTCCATTTGCTACTCGCATACAAACTCAAAGGTTGTGGCATGGTACCAAGTTTTCGACCCCCAGCATGAAGATTTGAAATCTGAACTTGAATTACAAGCGACATGTTTCTTTAGTGATATTGTTAGATCGAATCCAATCGAACCTAATCGCCCAACCGCTAGTAAACTTGGCTTGGATAGCACCATGGAGACCGGATGCTGAAAAGTTTGCGACCTAAAACCCAATCTATGAGAAGTAAGAACCCTATAGATTAAAAAATAATCCCACCATGAACAAGTGCCCCAGCAAGAGCTGGAAAGATTCACAGGTCATCTCAACGGTGCTGCTTCTTGGCTATTTTCAAGGTTACTGAGTTATGTAATCCTATGCCAAGAGCAGCTGCAAATTTTCGTGGGGGATACGGCTGGTTTCCTCCCATACCTCTGCCCAAATTCGTATCCTTCAAGGAGAGCTGAAGCACTTTCGACTCAGCCTCGAACAGTGCAGGAATGTTGCCAATATCTGCGATTTGAACTGAACCCATACAGAACTATAATAACTACGTATCGAATCTGACAGCTTGTAGCTGGAAACCACCGTGAGAATTATCCCACCATTAATCATCAGACTGTTTACCAAGTTTGCTGGCTATCGCCCCTGGAGAAAATCTGACGGAGCACATCCGACAGCTGAGGCTGATGCGCCAGGTGGACTTTGCCACCCAGAGATGGGCAAGATATGCCGCCAGAGATCAATAGAGTCATTGTATGTCGTTGTGACATGATGGACATCAAAATCATTATCATTAAAAAATAGTTGGTGAATGGTTGGCACATGGATGGTCGTCCCTGGAATGTGGGATCTATCATGGGTTCTAACTTAAAACTTATAACACATCCCATTACGTGTGACTTGTGAAGACCTATCATAGGCACTCTGGAAATACGTGTTTCTCTCTCTCTCTCTCTACGAGTCTTTCCTGCTATCATCACGAAACATTGTCCTTATGACGTATGACTGTTGCAGAACTGTTTTCTTCCAAAATTGTCTGCGACTGGAGCTGCAAACTGCACCAATGGGTATCAGCACAGGAACATCAACGGAAAAGTGTGTTCAGTGTTTCATGTTCAGTGTCTTCCTTTGAAACATTGAGAATCCCATCCATCTAGTATTACATACATACCCACGTAGACAGCTTGGTTTAGCATGGGATCCATTCTTTTTGGAATCCACATGAGATGTACTGTATGAGGGAGATGGGATTAGTGACATGCCGACAAAAGGAGATCCATCAAACCAAAGCTGCTGAGCATTGACCAATCTTTACAAGGCGTCAGCCCCAACGAGCCTATGGCGATCCAATGGGAATCCTGTCCCCAATGATTTACCCCAGCTGCCTTAATCAACAGCGATAATATGCCAACACTGCAATCCAAACCATGTCAAAAAATGAAGCCATGGGAGATCATGGGAGGCTGGGACAGGATCCACCAGCAATCTGCATTGATTTTTCCAGGCGTATTCACACCAGGCGTATTAAGCTGCGCGTAATTTCAGAAGATGCCCATGCGTGCCACAGATTCAGCAATCTTATCAGCAACACCTTTGGCGTTGGTCATCTGCAGATCTTCTGCGAAGACGAGGCTTTTCTTGAACACAAATTTATTTTGGCAAGTGCCTCGTTCGTTGTTCTGTGGTGCTGGTGGCCACTGGTCACAGAGCTTGATGGGAAACAACGGCAACTGATTCTGGTGAGCGAACTCGAGTTCATAGAACGTTTCGTAGCCCACACCAGTATACGCACCGTACTCTGAGGTGCAGAAGGCTACCATGCCTTTGGCACGGTACAATCCTTCGCATGTTATTTGGCCAAAATCTTGGCCAGTTGACGCATCGACCATGAACACTGGGACGTGTCTAGCCTCCAGCTGACTCTTCACTTCCTTCATGTACGCGACAATCCTCAGCCGTCCATCAGTGGCGGTGTTGCACATTCACCTTCGATCAACTGTCCAAGGCAGGTCCGATTTAACCCCAAAAGTACTGCAAAAAGTCATGTCACATCTGCTGATCATATCTGCTGATCCTTCTCCCGTGTCTCAGACGAGAATCGCATCACTGTTGAAGCGTCCGCTGAGCATTAAGTGCCCTCGATCTCTCGATGCCACCTCAGAATCGGCAGCTTGGAAAGCATCGGACACGAAGCAACCCAGGTCGGTCTTAGTACACAAGATCCATCAAGATCCCATGGAATAATCAAAATCAAAGTTGCCGGCCTTGCCTGAATACAATGCTCAAAGGACACAACTTTGACTCCATATGTCCATCTTGAAAAAGGTTGTACTTCAATGCATTTCAACTAAACTCTTCAAAATATGTCCAAATCGCACCAAGTCGTACTTCAATGCACTTCAAAATCTCCAAAGTGTGTCGGCGTGTGCTAGGGATTTTCAGGGTCGGGCCGAGACCGGCTGCGTGTACATGGCAACGGCCTTGAAGTTGGCCCTTCGTCTGCAGATTCCGCAGGGTCTCCATCGTGGCGCTGGTCCGGTGGGTGCGGCCGGTGCTGCCTGGCGGCTGACGGGTCGCGTGGGGGGTCTGGTGCCTTTGCAAAGTTGGAATGCGCGGGTTCTGACTTGCCGTTTTTCGGGCTGGTCTGTGCTGGGAAGGGTTGAAAAAGTGTGCACTCCCCGGATCTAGCATGGAGCTGCATGCTGTTCCTGGGGTCCACTAACACGGGCCTGTGGTGAGGCCCCGGGGGGGTCGTGCGACTGGCTTCTTTGGTGGGATCGTTCCGGGACTGGCATGGGACCCAATGCGGGCCCAAACTGAACCCGGACTGCGCCCTGCACCCTGAAACAGCCAACATGGAACCCGAACAAGTCATCACAAAGCGATCCGCAACCTTGAGGGGCGATTTCCATGTGGTTTTTAAGGCGTGGTTCTTGCAAATTCCATGTTAGTCTTGCGGGCGACGGAATGAAAAAATCTAATCTAACCAAAGAAAAAGGTCAAAACCTGGCCGTTTTGCGTGATTCTACCTGAAAATCCTTCATTCCCTTCAAAGAAACTATGCAGGTTCCTGAAACCAAAACACCTCAGAGAAAAAAAACGTGACTTATTTTTCGATACCTGTTGGGTTCCATGTTCTTCGCACAACCTTCCAAAGTAAGCCGCAACGGGCAGAAAACCTGACAGCGAAGAGGCGAAGAGAAAAAAAGCAAGCGACATGAAAGGACAACAAATCAGCAAACTAAGGAGATGGAAAGAGCAACAAGGAGCAAAAGAAAGACAAATGTGACAATTTGATGGTGACCTTGCTGTAGCTGGTGCCCCCAAGAGTTAAACTCGTTGGGTTCCATATGTTCCATTTTGGTTTCTGTTGTGGGTTCGACGACCACTCCCGGCCAGGGGGAGCATACGGGGAGACAAAATATGGCCACCAATCCAGATTCACCCAAAAACATCCAAATGGCACATTTTCTCCTTTACCAAGCGTAAAGGAAAACTAGGATCCTTCAATCCATTCAATTTCTTTTTTTGGCTTGTATTTTTTTTGCTGCTCCCTTTCCCGACGAAATGTTCATTCAGGTTCCAAGTTCGTTTTCGGGTTCCTGGAGTCCACGCTACGCAAAAAAACACCAGTCCAAATTCAACCTAAGGAAAACTAGGGCTGAGTGGCCCAACATGCTCCAAAATATGCTTCCCCATCCCATCCCAGGGGAGAGAGATTCCCTTTTTAAGGATTTTTTTGTTGATGCCAGGCCTGCCACTAAAATGAAAACATAGGTGAAAATGAAAAGGTTCTTTCATGATAAGCTTCAAGTTATGTTTTTCTATATCGGTTGGGTTCCATGGTGGTTTCCAGCTTCCAGGGTATTGGAGAGATCACCATGGGAAAGTACCACGGGGTCCATGTTGGGTTCCATGTAAGGTCCGTGTTATATAGTTGGCACTCTTTTCGAAAAAAGTCAGCTAAACGTTTAGTTTTGGACATATTATATATTCAAATTAAAAGTATATAATTAAACATAGCCATAACAAAAAAATACAACATATAGAAACTTAGTTTATCATGTTACAGAAGCAGCCTTTTCCTATCCACCCACCATACACGTGACATTTCTCATTTTCTCGTTGTGGCCTTCCCGTTGTGTTACCCCGAGGCGGAGCCCCCCCCGAAACAAACCAACATGGAACCTAAACTTTCCGTCGTGTTACCACGGGGCGCAACGGGGGCAACAGAAAGGATCAGGTTCCGCAACCAGCCTGACCGGGGAAAGCCACAACGAGGTAACACAACGGGAAGGCCACAACGAGAAAATGAGAAATGTCACGTTTATAGTGGGTAAATAGGAAAAAGCTGCTTCTGTACATTGATAAATTGTGAATATAGGTTTTTGAGTTTTTGGATGCTTTTGTTTACTCTTTATGTGTTGAAGATGTTTTCGATGTGTTTTAAAAAAATGTGTTGAGGGTATGTTTTGTGTATGTTTTTTGACATGCACTGAATGTGTTTAAAACTGTCTCCAGAATTTGTGCTTTGGAATTCATCTTGGACACAAAGATTCATTGACAAAAGAGCTGTTATGCGGCATCTTGCATCCATCAATCACTATAAAGGGAATAATTCTTCCGAATTTCCGTGTCAACCGCCATGGCCAACATGGAACTTTTTGATGAGCATTCAATGGCAGCTTGTGGGGTTCTATATTAGTATGATAGAAAATGTCCAAATTCACCAGCACCAACATGGCACCTACCTGGCACTTATCCCGCTCATGAATTTTAACATGGGTGCGCACAAATGGAACCATTTTGTTTATTTTTGGGGTACGTTAGTTTTCGGGAGAGTAAATGCACTTGGACTTTGGAAGTTCCACCCATTGGAATGAAGTGCCACCCAATTGACCACAATTGTTGCAAGGTTTTGCGGGTTTTACTTCTCCTCTAGATTTTTTGGGGTGGTGCTATACAAATCTATACAATTTCTTTGGATCCATCTGCAAGGTCCTGAGCTCCTTACTGCTGATTCCATGTTGCCGGTCAAGGCAGCTGACGATGCCTGGCAACATGGCACGTGTGTTGCATGCAATGCTAAAACAGATCTGTGGCAAGGGGAATGGAGATGCATCAGGAGATGGATCAAGGATGATCAGGGGATCTGAAGGTTGCAGAGGCACCATTGCGAGTTGATCTTGAATGATCTCCTGAATGCACGTCACTTGAAGTTCGAATATCCCCAATCACTACATGTTGGGTAAGCAGATGCAGGGTCAGCGCAACCCTCCAGCAATCCCAGCAATGCCTCTGCAGATCCAGCTGAATGCGGCTTAAGTCCAGGCTCTGCAGTTGCAGCTGTTGCAGCTGTTGCAGCTGTTGCATCTGTTGCAGCTGTTGCCTCTTCTGGCCGGATCTTAAAGCAGTGGTTCTTTTCCTCGATCTCCACATCAAAGTGTTGCCGTGACTGGGTGTCCAGCTCCGGTGACATCAGTGGCATGCGGTGGAACCGGATTTTCATTTTTGAAGTTCGGCCAGGCTGCTTGATTTCGAGGTCTTCATCATGGCGAAAGGTTCCCAGCTGAAGGTTGGGAGAACATCTCCGGAAGTGTTGCAGCACATCTGGGTCTGAGCAAAGCAGCTCCAAGCCTCCCTCGCATGATTCGCACCCTATGTGCATTACGACCACCTGTGCGTGCTCACCGCGCGGATGGAGGAATCCAAGCCCTTTGAGTGGACGACAGACCCCGGTGATGACAAACTCGCAAAAGTGGTCCAGTTCCACCGTTGTTCGGGTCTCCTCGAAAGACGCGGTTTCCAGTTTCTCCCATCCAGCTGTCGTTGATCTCCACAAGGCTTCGGCACCAGCACAGGTCGGCACCTCCACCTGGCCCCATAATGGCAAAAAAAATGTGCTTCTCAAGGCTCGTTTCGGTGTTTCTGCTGGTGCCCAACCCAAGTCGATTCTTTGCAAAGCAGGGGTAAACGACACTGGTTTCGGTACCAAATGATTACAAATGCATTATCTTTCTCCACTAGCGCTGCAATAATTGCTGCAAAGTTTGCTGTCAACATGCCGTCTTGCAAGAAGAACAAGGTTGGGTTGCTCTTTCAGCAGTTTTCGCAGCCGGACAATGCCGGACAATGGAAAAGCTGAGCCTTGGACCTTTGTGTGGCTCACAATTTTTGGGCCCCCTCTCCCAGCCTGCACCGGTGTTGGAAAGGGTCGATCTTCCGGAGTGAGCCGGAGGAGTCGAGCCAGGGGCACGTGGCCAGCAGGCAGTGCCTGAGCTTGTGGAAATTCATTGCGACAGAATGCAAACAAATCTGGGGGCATGTCAATATGTGCTATGTGGATATTTACGTTTATATAATTTCATATTCTATGATTGTATTATGATATTATATGTACACATTTAATCATGTCTTGTTTATACGCAAGCGTGCATGACACGATCATAGGATGCAACCAGTATTTGATCAAGATCTTGCCTTGCAAGACTTCTCACCTCTCAATGTGCTTCCCGCCACCTGCGGAATGTATCTGTCCACCGGTCTCAAGGCTCAGATGCAAAGGAAAATGATGGTTGGCAGTTTGCTAGACAAGATACCTGCTCCAGGACTGAGACGTTCTTCAAGTCGCTCCAGTTTTCCAGCACGTCCATCTTTATGTTAAACTCGGTAAAGATGGACTGCTGCGCCATCAGGCGAATGCCATGCCCGAAGTCCTTGATTTCGAAGCTGTCCTATCCGATCCCATCCGTTTTTTCCCCCTCAAGGAGTCACTCTGCAACAACGATCCGCAAGGTTTGTTGTTTGCTGCAAACAAAGAGCGGCCTTGCCAGGAATTCTTGAAGCTTGAACTTGGGATGAAAAAATACGAAAAACATTAATCGAGCTCTTTAATCCAGACTCTCCGACTGAAAGTGCGGACATTGATGAAACATTATGAAACAAATGAAAAATGATGAATGAAAATTTGTGAATACAAAATAATTCAAATCAATATTTGAAGCTACCAAGGGCTTCATCCCGTCCTCAGGCATAGCTTGAGAAGGCGCCTCAGGTTGAGACACCAGGACTTCGAATGCCGCTTCCAGCTGCGGACCCTGTCTGCTTGGGGGTGACCCTTATGGCATTATGGAAGCATACATCAATATACTATAAATATATCATAATCATCAATATCTGCATTACATCAACATATTATACATCAATAATCATCAATACTATATGCCATGGTATTCCATAATATACAATAATATACCCAGGTGTCCAGTGGAACTGCACCCCCAAGTAGCACCTCTGCCCCCCATGCGGCCTGTGCTTCAGGATGTGCCTCTTCAATAGCATCTTCCTAAGAAAGATGCAAAGTCCAAATGAGACAGAGGAAGACTTGACATGGGGAGTGGAGAACACCTGGCACAGAATTAACGAACCAGTGGGACCAAAATGACATCATGACATCGTGCTGAAGTTGGCTTCATGGTGCATGTGAACACTCATCCACATTGCCTGGCAAAAGGCATTCTGCCGTACTCTTTTTTGGTTTGCTACTGCTTCTACTGTCTCAAGCACGCGTGCCGATTTCCCTGCACCGTCGCAAGTCATGTTGCAGCTGATGCTGCCAAGGCACTGAAATCACGGCGGTCAATGTATTGCCCGGCACAATGTGCGCTGCAGCAAGCTCCATGCGTTCATCCCTGGGCACAGACCGCCATAAACCAATTCAGCAACTGATGTCACAGAATATACTGGTGGCATGGAATATTAACCCAGCTTTACACCCAGCAGCAGAGTAGGCAACAAAAAACGTCTTCGTGCAGGGTGTTTTTTCTTTCAAACTCGCAAGAGTTTTCCTTAAAATGTCAGGCCAATCAACTATACAGACCGGCAATGTAAAAACAAGCCAATGATATGAAGAGGCCTACCACCAATACCCAACAAGATTGTTTCCCACGTAAGACAGGCTTATACAATTTCCATCAGCTGGGCAGAAGGGTCAAAAAGTTCCGTGCAGCCAGGTAGCAATGGCTCGTGGTTTTGTCCAATGATGTGTTTAATCTTGACGCCGAGGTTTTTCCTCGATCCACTGGACAGGGTGTGCAGCAGGGATCAACAGGCTGCAGTCAGATCCCCGAAATGCCCCTTCTGTGACAGAGACTTGCAACCAGCATCAGGAAAGCGATGCACGTCACAGGTGCCTGGAACCAAGTTACCGGTTTAGCTCTGAGCGCATCATACGGAAACGAACCGTGAAAAGATTAAAAAAGAGACACAATCTCAGATCTTGACCAATGAGGTGTCACGGTCATGAAGTGTCCACTGATCCATCTCGGAATCTTCATGAGATGACTCATTGTGGCAAAGACGGGTACCAAGCGTGTGCCAACTGTAGTGGCGCTTGCTACTTTGCATGAGGTGTTCCATGATTTGGAGGTCTAAGTTTCGTTTCGAGATTGTGATTTGAAGAGTGTCTAACAAATACTCCATTCAAAATACTCCTCTCAAATTATGATCCCTGAAACCTGCAACCTGCACCCAACCTGCACAACTGTGGTTGTCAGAAACAAACTGCTGTTGCCATCTGTTGCCAGGTTTCGTAAACGTCAACTGACCTGTTCCCCTGTGGCTCCCAGTCATCCTGGAGTTCATCTCTGTGCCAAGGCACTCGGCTTCTTCCTTCAACTCCAACACAGTTCGCTCCTGTGAGAAATGGCCTCAGTTCGGTTGGGTTTGATCCAATCTTCACGGATGCACAACATGGATGCACAAGTGAGTGGATTACTGAGTGTGTGCTTGCTAAATGAAGTTGCATTTTCCCGAAACCTGGAAAATTGGTACCTTCCAATGTGTAACTTCCGGTCCCCTTGAATTTTGGAGGGGCGTCCACAATGTCAGATTATATTTTGCAGGTAAAACCTTCCTAAATGTAATGATTTTCTTTGAAGATGCAATTTCTTGGGATGAGCCCGTCACACAAAATGTCATTTACTTCTTGGGGGGTCCCCCAAGTATGGTGTTCCCTGTGTGAAAACAGAAAACAAAGGCAACATTAAAAACAAAGTTGATGGAGGCGTTTCCAAACAACCCAAATGTGGATGGGTGGGGGCAAGAAAATGCAAGTTCCAATTTGCCGGCCCCCGCATCCCCATGTCCATGGTCACAACATACCTGACCTAGTCCAATTTTGGGATGCAGAACAACGATGCACACAACAGTGTGGACTCCGTCAACGTGGTGCCTCAACACGAAACATGTCATGTTGTGGGATGAAAACGTGAATCCCTTATCTGGGCAATCCAAGTGCCTTGAAAACCAATTATTCATTTTGTTTCAACATTTTGCTGGTTACTATACTAAGCTATACTATGATGACGGTCAACAGGTCGAATCAATAGGCACTTCACCATGGTGTATCATCTATGACGGCCACCACGGTCCCAGTGCTTTGAAAACCTATTGAAAACTAATGTTGATTTACTATTCGGGGGTTGTTTTTTTTCTCCTGACGGTCAGCAGGTATTCCTCGGATTATCTACCCACAACGCCCAGGCGCAACGGCAGCTTCGGCCACTCAGCAGAGCCACAAAGACCTCGGTGTTTTTTCATGGCGCCGACACAACTGTGGTGCTTAGGGCAAGGAATACGGGGATGCACCAGGTATAGTTCAGACAAGAAAATGTGATGGGCCAGAATCAACTAACGGGACATTGTGGAAAAATGTTTGGAGCACCAATCCTCTGCGAAGCAAACAAGTGTAACAAGTATGGTGAGAGCAACGGGTATACAATTCCCTATCAATGACGGGATGACCATTCCCCTTTATGGGAAAACATTCCATGTCTTGACCATCGCACATAGAACAACAAACAACAAGAAGAATGGTAATGTTTAAATGGTTGGATATATGTGGCGGTGAAACGTAGTTAATGTAGTTCTACAGTAACGTAGATCCCCATGTTTGATGGTTTAATCCTCATGTGTTTTGATGGCTCATGTTTTCTCATGTGTTTATCGTTCACGGATAAGTGATACAAACTCCCATAGTATCCAGAATGGTTGATAAACTATATGATATATCTTAATGATATCATAGGTCAGACTAGTAATGTGAGATACGTGATCCATGGTGGTTGATCTTCGTCATGGCTCCAGAACGGCTGCCAAGAGGCTGGGCGCAGGAGGCCCATCACCTGGCTCTGGCCCTTGTCCTTGGCCAGGTCGTAAGGCGTTTGGCCTGAGACGCGACGGCGGCGTTTTTGGCGTGGGAACTCGGAAAACCCTGCGGATGTGGACAGATAAATCAAGATAAATCATGTTCTCAGGTTAAAAAATAACACTCAGGGCATCTGCCATGCCGAGTTTTGAATTTCTGGTCAAGCCTGGCAAGTCCATGCTCATGGTTGTGATGTGAAGCATCCGATGTGTTTCCACTTTTCAAACTCTGAACACGCGTCTGCAACAAACCACGAAAATCATTAATTACATTCCACCACTTGCAGTCTTTTCTGACAGGATGTCTCTGCTCATAGTTTATGCATGTTCATGCCATACAACCGTTATCAACCGTTTCATTTTTTTAAAGGACAGACGTGGGATCCAGCTCAAAGTGATCAAAAGTTCCAAATCCAGTGAACATTTGAGACCACGTGCCTTCCACTCATGTCCACCCATGTTTGGTCATTCCTTTTACCCGAATTTCAAGAGGCCCATCCCATCACAAAAGTGGATCCTTAAACAACAAGTACGAGTACCACTCAACATCCCAAAGCACAGCACGAAAATCACCTGCCAATGTACGAGCCCCTTCCGTCACCTCGTCAGAGCCACTCCCAAAACAACTCGAAAAACCCTTCCAGGGCCACGGCGGAATATGTCGGCCGCATCCACCGTGGCCCCCGCAGAGATCAGCTGCTTGACCACGGCGGCATGGCCTTCCTCAGCCGCCCGATGCAGCGGCGTCCAGCCTCGGTGCCGAGGATGCGACGCCGACGGCGGGGCAGCTGCGGCTGCCGTCGAGAAACAAAGCGTAGCGGCGTAGCAATGGGATGTTTCTCCGGGTGGTTGGGCAAAATTGTGGATAGGTCATAGATACCAGCCGATACTCTTGGTGTGAGGCATTGGGGAGAAAACGAGAGCAATCATCGCAAATCAGTCATGTTACATGTGTGTTTAATCGAGATCTTACAAGCAGTTGCTTGTATAAGTGTTTCATGCAAAGTGCAGTGAAATCAGGACAGGCCTCTATGTCCTCATGGAAACATACCTGAACGAAACATAACAAACCCATGGCCCATAACTATTGTCCACTCTAGCAGGAAAAAGCTTGTAGACAATATGGATTTCAAGCACCGTTTCAATCTATTTCAAATTGAAGTTAAACTGGGATCAAGATCCAAATCACAAGACACTTCAAGCCATTGAACATTCTGCGACAGCATCCTTGCTTCTGCTTTCCACTCATGTCTTCCGCCCTCCATGTTTGGTCATTTCTTATACCCAAATTCCAAGAGGCCCATCCCATCACAAAAGTGGATCCTTAAACAACAAGTACGAGTACCACTCAACATCCTAAAGCAAAGCGAAAATTACCTGCCCATGTACGAGCCCCTTGCATCACCTCGTCAGAGCCACTCCCAAAACAATACGAAAACCCTTCCGGGGCCACGGCCGCCGTTTTTGGCCCGGTCCACCGCGGCCCCCGCAGAGATCAGCTGCTCGACCACGGCGGCGTGGCCTTTCGCAGCCGCAAAATGCAGCGGCGTCTCGCCTCGGGCGCCGAGGATGCGACGCCGACGACGGGGCAGCTGCGGCTGCCGTCGAGAAACAAAGCGTAGCAAATGGGATGTTTCTCCGGGTGGTTGGGCAAAATTTGCGGATAGGTCATAAATAGAAGATCCGCCAAGCCGATACTTGTTTGTATATTCTTTTAGTGTGAGGCATGGCGAAAAAGAAGAGCAATCATCGCAAAATATGTTCTTGCTCTATGGTGTTGTTCAAATCTTACAAGCAGTTGCACCTGACTTTCTCAACATCATGTGTCACGTGTCTAAAAATTATTTCATGAATAACTTTGGACTACCCAAGTGCAGTGAAATCAGGACATGTCTGACAAAAGAATGCCAGGAGAAACGCAAGAGATGTGACAGGCTGTGTGAGGTGGGAAGGTGCGGGGTTGAAACACAATGCGAGGTGCGGCTTGGTGGCAGGCATGAAAGTCATTGGACAAGTATTTCTGTCAAGGGAAACTTACACTGTCCACTATACAGTGAAAAGGAAGGTTTGTGCGGGGTTGAAACCTATCTGATTGGTACAGGTTTGAAGACAAAGGGATTTGGAGTCTATTGTGCTAGACTTGAGAGTCCGAACATATCCATCAATATCAGCTTTCACTCAGAAGGATTGAAACCCACCGACGTTGTTTTTTCAATATCACATCTTCAGGCCCTTATCCCTGATCCATACTGACTGATCAATCATCCTTCATTGTGCTATGTCATTGCTATGCGGACAGAGATGATATTCAGAAAGTAAGAGAGATCTGACCCGGCAAACCTGCTTTGGCACTTTCATCAGAAGAAGACACAAGACAACAAGACAAGCAACTGATCGAATCATACTTGTCATGGATGTCTATACCAGAAACATCATTTCATGCAGAGACAGGAAAAGGATCCACTTGGACAAGTC